TCTTCTCCGGCTTCACCTTCTCCACTTTCCGCTTCCTCTTCGGCAGTAAGTAATTATATTATATTATTATTATTATTATTTAATTCAATTATTTTTCATTTAACTGAAATTTTGATCGGTTAATTCATGTGTACGGACGTGCAGAAACGTTTCAACCGGTACTGCTGCTAACATGGCCAGCTCCACCGAACAAAACCGTTTCCGTTCGAGAAGTCGTTATGTTTCCCGATCAGGCTCTCGTTTTCCTAAACTACCCTCCCGCCGCCCGCTTATTTACCAAAGACGACCTCCACTGCGTCTACTTGTCAGCCAACCAGTCCTCCTCCCAGCCCCGGTTCACTCAGCCCCCGGTTGACATCGACGGCGACGATCGCCACAATCAGATCGTGCGGTGTCCGCTCCAGCCACGTGGTTTAACCGTTTCTGTTACGTTGAGACCAGACGACGACGTCCCGGCGGTTCCCTCGTACAGCTGGGACTGGCTCGCCTACGACGCCCTCGTCGACCGCGACGACACTACGATCGTGTTCGTGAAGGGCCTCAATCTACGGCGGGAAAGAGTTTCCAACGCCACCAAATTCGAGTGCGTCTACGGCTGGGATTTCAGGACCACAAGATATTTACTGAGAGCCGACGTCGTTTCGATCGCTCAGGAGATCGTGCGGTGCAGAACCCCCATAAGCGTGTTGAATTTTCCACGTGGCGTCAATAATTCAGTCAAGGTCTCCGTTCGAGTGAAAGGTGGTGGAGGAATATTACCCTCCATAGCCCGCCCCGGGCTCCGACCCGTACTCGCCAACTCGCCCCGGCGGAAGCTGCACGAGATGTGTTTGTGCTCCATGGTTCGAAATCAGGGTCGGTTTTTGAAGGAATGGGTCATGTACCACGCCCGAATGGGAGTTCAACGGTGGTTTTTGTACGACAACAACAGCGACGACGACTCTGATATCGTAATTGAGTGGCTACGACAAGCAAATTACAACGTCACAAGACACGTATGGCCTTGGATCAAGACCCAGGAAGCCGGGTTCGCCCATTGCGCCCTACGAGCCCGTGAGACATGCCAATGGGTCGGATTCATAGACGCGGACGAGTTCTTCCACATGCCTTCGGGGCTCTTGATCCACGACGTGCTTCGCAATCAGTCCAATTACGGTTACGTTGGAGAGATCCGAGCCTCGTGCTACAGTTTTGGGCCTTCCGGCCTCAAACAACTCCCGACACAAGGCGTAGCGGTAGGGTTACACGTGTCGGATTGGCGGCCCTGAGAGGCACAAGAGTATCGTGAGGCCGGAGGCCCTAGACTCGACGTTGATCAACGTGGTGCATCATTTTCATCTTAGAGACGGGTTTGAGGCTGTGAATGTTGATATGGGGGTGATGGTTATCAATCACTACAAGTACCAAGTGTGGGAAGTGTTTAAGGAGAAGTTCTATAGGAGGGTGGCGACTTACGTGGCTGATTGGCAGGAGGAACAGAATGTGGGGTCCAAGGATCGGGCCCCGGGATTGGGGACGAGAGCCGTGGAGCCACCGGATTGGTCACATAGATTCTGCGAGGTTAAGGACACGGGCCTTAGAGATCGAGTGTTGCAGGATTTTGTCGATCCGCGCACCCGTCTTTTGCCGTGGCAAGAGGAGGATGATGAAGTTCGAGTGGAGGTACAATTTCAACAACACCGACACCAAGAACAACAGGAACAACGAAAGTTAAAGAGCATGATGAGAAGGAGAAGAGCGAGGATAAAGCAGAGAGTTTTGTTTTGAGTTTTTGTAGAGAAATGGTAATTAAGTAGGTGGGTTAATTAGTTTGTGCATTACTGTCTAGAGAGGATTAATTATACAATTTAGAGATGAGGATATTGTGCAATATGGTATCTTCTAAATGTATCTTTACATATATAATTTTTTTCTACTTGGAAATATTGATGAACCGTAATCTTTTACACATCAAAGATCATACACATTCAATTTCAAATCTCTTAGTCCCAACTTCTCGTTATGGATTGAATTTCATTAGTCAAATTGTTCTTGTAAATTTGATTTCATTCTTGAAAAATTTGATCTTAAAATCTCTCTTTTAAGACCTGTTTTAATTTTTTTTTTTCTTCATGTTTCACATCATTTAAACCTTATTTGAAGAATTTTAACTTACTAGCTAAGTGTAACTGTCACACTGTCACGTGATATTACTAATTAACTTATATCGTAACATGTTGATATAGATATAATGAAATACCCCAAACTCATAACATATCAACTATATCGTCTACTCATATTACAACACGTAAATTAATTCTTACACAATTTTCAAAGCTGGATCAATAGCCGTTGGAAATTTAAAAAACAAAATGCGATTCAAATATTTGACCGTTAGCAAAAGACCAAAATCCGTCGACACGCCACTTTCCTTTTGCGCTCTTTTGCTCGTTAGCCTCTTTCTTTCCAGGATTTCGATTCTTCCCTTTCCCTTCGGTCCATCCAAAGACACAACCAAAAATGGCGAGGAAAGAAGAAGAGCCGAAACAGAGTCCAATAAACCCAAAAAACCAGCAAAGAAAATCAGGCCCAGTTGAAGTCGAAACCAATGGCACCAGCGGCAATGCTATTATATTCAGCCCCAGATTCAAATCCGTGGCCGCCATGGCCGGTTGGGACGAAGAGAGCCTTCTAATTGCAAGCCTGGTGGTTGATGATACGCCGGACAGAGATTTTAAACACAAGAAACGCTCCGTCTTGGGCTCCAAGACCCCACCCACCAATTCATCAAGAAGGTATGAAATAATTATGGTATTATTAGTGTTTTTTTTTTTTTTTTTTTTTTTGTATGAGATTTAATTTTGAATGTGATTCATGTTTTAGAAAGCGCAGAGCTCAGAGAAGGAGCCCGATTTCAATCCCTGTAGTTGTTCTTGATCTTGATGATGCAGAAGAAACTGCGAAAGACGGTACTGATTTTCTCCATTTGATCTGTTGGGTACTTGGGTTATGGAAATCCTGGAATTTTGTCTGAAATTTTTATATGAAATCTTGAGGGTAATATTTTTGGTGTGCAGAGACGGAGAAAGAGAAGAAGATGGAACAGAAAATTGTTGCGAATAAAGAGAAGGAAACGAGAGAAGATAAAATGGCTGAGAGCTCTGGTGGTTCTTGCCCGCCAAGTTCGAATCTTCCTTGCTTGGATAAGCTCAGGGAAGAACTTTCTTGCGCTGTAAGAACCTTCTAACCTGCCTGCCTAGTTAGCAGTTAGAACTTTGACGTACTCGATCAAACGGGTTTCGTTGAATTTTGTTTTCTAACGTCGTGGATCTGATGTTCTTGGCAGATCTGCTTGGAGATTTGCTTTGAACCAAGTACAACTCCTTGTGGCCACAGGTAATTTCGAAACCAACAAAGCACAGCTTAAATTTTGTGTTTATCGATCTTATTGCCATTCGATGAGCCAAACTGAGGCTTGGACGATTGAATCACATGCCGCTTGACTTCGAATAGCCGATCAATTTATCCTGATTTGTACAACTGTTTGATTGTAGTTTCTGTAAGAAATGCTTGCGGTCCGCTGCAGATAAATGTGGGAAGAGGTGCCCCAAGTGCAGGCAGCTAATAAGGTATGTTTCTGACATAGTTCCAAGCTAATTGGTTAGTTAATCGGCTAATGCTCAATGCTGCAACGTGCTTTTTGGATTTATCTCTATCTTGCTTGATATTTGCAGCAATAGTAGATCCTGCACCGTCAGCACGGTTCTTTGGAACACGATACAGCTTCTGTTTCCGCAAGAAATTGAAGCAAGGAAAGCTGTTGGAGCCTTAAACTGGTAGAGAAACTGCTCGTCAAAGCCCCGGAAAGGCTGTGTATAACACAAGGAATGTTCAAAGTAGAAGGGCATCGGGGGTATCAAGCAGCAGCAGCAGCAGCAGCAGCAGAGAAATGACCATGAGGAGAAGACGGGTGATATTAACCCAAGATGAAGAGGACGAAGCTGAGCATCGGAACCCAGAACAAGGCGCTGATAGAAGTATTCGGTTTATAAGGGCATCAAGCAGAGAGATGAATGCTGAGGAGTAGTAGTAGAAGGATCCCAAGCCAAGACGAGGATGCTGCATTGGCTCTAAGATTGCAGAGAGAGGAGTTTATGGACGCTTTTAGGGGAACCCCTGATGAATCCAGTAGTTCTTGGATTTCTTCGGCGAGAGCAAACATGAGAGCCATGGCATCCAGAGCTACTAACCATCGTTTTACCCGACATATGTCGTAGTCTAGCTTCTCTTTCGGTTTCAAAATTTCCATTTCAGTGACGCTAACTGACTGGTAGTCTAGTAATTGTAGTCGTTTAGCTTCCCTTGCTCTGTAAACTAACTTCGGTTGCTGTTGCTTGAATGAAACACTTGCTGCTCTCAACATCTGTTGCATTGTGTTTAACAAGTCTTACAAATTAACCACCGTTCTTGGTTATTCCTATGTCGTGGGTCTCGAACAGTGATTCGATTGGTAAAAAGAAAGAGAATTCTTGGTTTAGTTCTCCATCTTAACGACAGAAAAAAGATTGATCAATTTCTGTCGAGTCTGACTCGTAGTGATCATTTATTAAAGAATGATTTTGGTTATCAAATGATTGAACAACCGGGAACAATTTACTTACGATACTTAGTTGACATTCATAAAAGTATGTAATGAATTATGAGTTCAATACATCCCGTTTAGCAAAAAGACATATATGTCCTACATTCAGTGTCAATGTTTTTTCTATGTGCAAGTGCGATCGTGTGCTCATTGAAAGGGTACAGCACAATCCATTCCAAATGAAACTCTTGTACCAGTCCGGTAGACAGTTTTTCTCTCCAGTGCATGAAAGGAAAACCCTTTGGCCCTATACCACTCTACTTTTGTGTTCGATTTCGGCACATTGGGGCCGAACATAAAAACCAATTCCGAAACATTTAAATTCAGAAACCAAAAAGTTCTCTGGTTTGTTCCCCCAAATATTGAGATTGCACATACATTCCAACAAAAGTCGCGAACTAAATTAATCAAATACAACAACAAATTCGAATGTTCATTTCCCAATCTTTGTTTTCTACCAGTAACACAATACACAGGTCAAGCCAATAAAACAGTACGGCAAACTACCCCGACGGGAAAAGAAAAACCACCCTGACGGAAAAAAAAGGCGGCAACTCATAAATGTCACGCTGCAAAATTTTAGCTTCATATTACGTGTTGCACCAGTGGACAGGGTCGCTTGCTTGCGTGTGACGATTCTGATTTCAAAACTGTAGATACTGGAGTCATGCGCAGAACGCATCCCACTCTCGTAGACAAAGTAGTCATAACCTGTATTTGTACAAGGAACCTTACGGAAGATTTGGCCGCTCAGTAAATGCGTGTTTCTGGCGAAGTTAGTGCCTGTGGGAGTGCTTTCGGCTAACAAAATGGGGCTCTCCCTTTTCTCTGTTCCGATTTTGTAAGATCGTCAAAGCACAGCAAGTAAAGCCTATAGCAGCCATACCATAAAATGCTCTGTATGGAGCCAAGGCCAGGGAAGAGATATAGGAATAGTATCCAGCTAGCAGGTACAGAAAATTCAGCATCACTTCACAGTTTCGGAAGCCAGGGAAAGATACCAAGAAGGAACTGGACTCGGGCCTTGCGGTGAAGATTCCATGAAGGATCACACCGGTGCAAAGAAATGAATCCAAGAGCCATGGGAAGCTATGACCCATCCCTATTCTCTGCAACCGGAAAAAAAAATGTACTTTTGTTAAAAGCCAGCTCGCGTACACGAAGAACAAAAAAGGCATAGAAGGTTTGAAATCTAAACATATTCATATTTGGATTACTGTACCTGAAACCAGGCGACAAGTGACGGGACAAACATGAGTGCTGCAGCAAGATGCAAAATAAACAGCCCATGCCGATGATGGAATAACTCTAACTGTGTTTCACCAAAACTTTTCGAAGAGTTTGGACTGTTGGAGCAGCAATCTTCAGAATGAATATTCTGGTTTGATATACCATCACTTTTGGATGGAAGTTGGCAGGACCGGTCATTGTCTTCTTTTTTACAGTCAAATAATTCATGTCTTCGTGCATGACTGCGAAATGAAGCTGTCAAAAAACTGTTACACAGACATAAAGCAACTCTTAGGATCTTTTTTATCACACCTACGCTGAAGGTAATAAGACACAAGAAGCTTTACATATTATTTATCAACAAGCAAGTCAGCACCGAGGACTAATAAATATTAAAAATACTAAAAGCCACATTAAATTCACATGCAATTGGACAGCAAGTGCATGGCTTTTGTGTACAATTCCTACAAAAATCCATCTGAAACAAAGTGAGGACATACCTGCAAAGTGCACTGTGACAGCTCAAAGCATCGAAGAACAAGATTATAAATAGACCGAACGCTGCATGAACCAAGCACGCCAGAGTAATTGCAACAAGTGCTGTAACGAATACTGGATTGGCTCTTAAAACCCTTATCACCTGTCCATGAAAAACCCATGTGAAAGTGAATGAGCCAACTTGCCAACCTTTTCCCATAGTAACTGAAGGAAATAGAGATACCTGAGCTAGTAATGATTACATTTATACCACAGGATAAGATATACCTTCAATGAAAAGAAACCCGAAGAAAGATTAATAAACCGGTGAACACTTTTTTCCCCCAACTGAAACCTGCAACAGACTAACTCTTGTCATTCAGCACAAAAAACAGAGAACATGCATATATGCACTGGCTGAGAATACTCAAGCTCGTTGATTTTCAAGTCATGGAAAGTAAATAAAGAGTGGTCAAAAGAGCCTACTGACCTTGTCTTGATGAAAACATGTACAACAGCGGCCGCATAGAAGATGAGTTGGGATATCAAAATCAGAATTATTACGAAGCCATTAGCAAGTAAATAACAAGTCACCGAGATGATGGTGAAGCTAGAAAATGAAGGAAATGGTTGAGAAATAAAAAAGGAGAGGGCAAAAGAAAGCAAGATCGGGGCAATGGCAAGGTAGAGAAATGGCAATGGGATTCTCAGATTAAATTCCACAGCCGTAAGAATCGAAGGTATGTGCTGGTCAAGATCCCATGTACATATTTGCTGCATTAGTGCAAAAAAGATAACAACAAGGGAGAAACCAGCAATCTGCAAGAGAGCATCAATAAACTAAATAAGAAGCATGCCTCTTTCTTTATTAAGAAGTATTAAACAATGAGAGAGAAAGTTGAAAGTCATTACCTGTGAATTATATAAAAGCAAGAACCTACTGGCAACTGCAGGTACAGAAACAGTCATGGAACTTCTATATGAACAATGTGGATCTACCTGAACAGAAGCAGAGGTAGACAAACATAAACACCTTCGATTTTAACAAACGATTGGAATAAATCATTAGAATCCCCCTATTTTTGGCCTGAATAGAATCTGTAAGTTATAAATTTCTTGTGCCATATTATATTATAATAATAATGAAAATTTAGGTGACTTTTTACCAGCAACATAACAGAGGTTTTCTCGGAACTTTGAGGTGAGCTCCATAGTGCTGGTGAAGAATCAACAACAATTTTCTCACTGTACATATTTGGGAATATGTGGAGACCTGACGTGTGATCCCAAGCAAATGCTATAGGAGGGAAACAGCGAAGCTTACAGAGCTCTGTTGTACCAAGAAAGAACTAGCTTAGCCAAAAAGATACGAGAAAAAAATACTAGGTTCAATATTGTGCAAGAATATCAACAGATTACAACTATTTTTTTCATTAATAATGTTTGACATTAATCCATGACAACAAATAGAACCAAAAACATAAAATGAAAAACAACTATTTATATAAATCCTTACTGCTATTATCTTCATCTCCAGCCTGTTCGTCTGGAAGTCCAGAATTTTTTATCCCACAGCCTGCAGCCTTCAAAGAGAACATGACAGGCAGAAGGCCCAAGCTCGTGGTAAATGATAGATTCAAAGCAAGAGGATGATCCTCCTTCAAAGACATTTCCTGCATCGAGCCCAAGTCATGCACAGTTAAAATTAAACCATTCGAATTGAGTTTTAAGTTTCAACAATGAGATATTAACCTTATAAGAATAACTAGGTAGTGGCATAGACCAAGGGGAGAACTCTCGTTCCCCTTCCTCTGGATTAAAAAACTGCCCGACAGCCATGGAAACTGCTGGTGGAGGTCTGCCTGAAATAGTCTGATCAATAGATTGTCAACATTTTACTAGAGAGTGGAAGTATTATTCAACATAAGCCAAACTAACTAGTTCAAATTCAAATCTTTTTTCATTTACAAAACCATGAAAAGGATAGAAGAGAAAGACAAAGGGAGATGACAGCCAGTTCACCTAAGCAAAGCCTACTACAATGACATAAGGAGCAAACCAACCATCAACAATGAGGGGAAACAATACCGGACGAGGTGCAACTGAGATGGTCAGGAATCTGAAACCACGCATGTCCTCAGGTCCCAAGCGAAATATAGCAGAAGGAGAAGCTTGCTCTGTCTGGCTTCCAGGTTCAATCTAATAAGACAGAGCATATCCACAAATAAGAGAATGCAACAATTATCCCATTAAAACATGGTCATGAATGCAAAACTCAGTACCTGTGTTGGTGCTGGTCCTGATGGAATGCGCACCATCCTTGATGTCACATCAAGGATTCTTATACAAATAGGCAATTCTGAAGTTGAGTTTCTTTTTTCTGGCCATAGATGAAGTCTAACCCCAGAACACGGAGCAAGGTTTGTCACAAACATGAAGTGGCTTCTTCCATTTGACCCCTGCACGTATTGATTAAAGTCTGAGCACTATCAGATATTGGAAATTCAAAAAATAAAAGAAAATTAACAAATTCTATCTGCATGACAAGAACAAGTGGAAAGGAAAAAGAATATATCACGGTCCAGTATTATTTTGTAATGCATCAAAAGTATTTTTCCCCAGTCATATTCATGCAAACACAGTATAAATTAAATTGGTGTACACATCATTTCTATGTCAATGATATCGTACATGCACAAGATACAACAAACTAATTTCCAGATCATGTTTTTTAAATGAAAACAATTAAAGAACCTAGCTTGGAAAGGTTGATGAAAAAGTAAAAGAGCGGGCTGAGAAAAAAAGGAGATTAAGAACAATCAGGACAAAGTATCTAACTCAGCAATAAGCTTGAAATTAAGTTCATAATGATTTCGGTGTTGAGTAGATGGAAAATTTGCTGATGCTAACCAATTTTTGTATGTCTAACCACCGTCTTCGACCATCCATAGCTAAAACAGTGACGGTGGTTGTCTGAATGTATAGGTCCCTCTCAAGGCCATCATCACTCCAATGAACATTGCTAGGACATGCAGCAGAAGTGTACAGCGATTCTGCAATCATATTACACATGTAATTCAATGATATAACACCATCACTACTTTCTCTCTTTATGTGTCAACATTGTAAACTATAAAGAGGAATACAATGGATTTATCCAAACAAACAATGTGACAATACAGTACCAGTTTTATCCTTTACGTCTCTAGTAGGAATGTGTACTGACTGCTGAGATAAGTGTGATTGCATCCTCCAATCGAAACTCTGCGGTATCCCACTACGAAGCATTTTTGAGAATATCGCTGTTCTTATTCGAGTGTTAGAAAATGGATGGCCTGTCCCGGAGTCTACCAAACTAAGGAGGGTGTGCGCTAACTAGATAAGAGCACTGTGTTCAGAACTGTTTTTATGATAATTAAATCTGGGTTCAAGTAGTCACTTACTTGGATAACTAATTGATTACACCATAAAATAGCTTGATGTTCCATTGACAACCACACATTTCTCATGCCCGTACTACTGATCACAAAGCCATGAGTGGGAGGCACAATGCCATCAAGGGATTCTGACTTGGATCTTACCTAAAGACAAAAAACAAGAGTAACAGCAGCCACAGAGTCAAGGCACATAGCAAGAACTTATAGTACCACAAACACAAAATACTTATATAGTATACACCGATGTGTACGTACAAATGAAGTTTGAGCAAAAACTACTGAGAACCCCCATAGTGACACAAAATTATAACACCCCGTCTCCCCAAAAATTATATAACACAGGAAAATACGAAAAATATGTATTTACCTGATAATCATTATAACCACCAGAAATGGATATAACAACAACATGGGAGAGAACAGGACCAGACACGTGATGTCCTGCTCTAGTTGTTTGGATCTCATATCCCTTTCTCCATTCATCATTAACACGTTCAAAGTAGTGACCCAAGAAGGCTGCAATGCCACAGGAGGGTATCTGAATGAAATAGGTACATTTCATCAAACACTAATTCATGCATTCACTTTGACAATGAGAGTTATCATAGAAGCTAAAAACTCACTGGTGGGGGCTGGACAGAGTAACAATTGTTTCAACTGCTGATTTCCTCAAACGGTGATGGATAACTGCAGCTCTAGCAACAAAACCACCCATAGAGTGACCAACCAATATCACACTTTTTGGAGAACTCCCAGAGGTTGCAGCACCTTCTCTTTGTCTAGCCTCATAAGATTCTTTGTACTGATCCAAAATCTGCACACAAGATTGTAGGTTAAACATCTCTTATAAACTAAAAGAACATGAGAAAACTGATAAACTACAACATGACCAAGAAAAGACTCAACAGGGGAGAAGAACTGACAAGATGGTTTGGTTATGTGTTGTAACGTGTTATGTGTTGTAATGTCTTTTTTTACCAGATCATTAAATTATTGTCGACAGTTTCTGTGACCCCGCATAATATGGATGGGACTGGATCATGTCAAGGATGAAGACAAGCATTCGGACTATTTGAAATGTGAAATTCCAATATAAGTAGTTATATTACATAACACATTCTGTTGAACGTAGAGAAGTGCATGTAATATTTGTGCCATTTACTCCTTCATAACACTTCCTCGTAATGCAATATTAAGAAAATGTAATACGATCTCAAAGACATGTTTACCATGCATAAAAAAGTTTCATCTTCGTATGCAATTGGAAGAAAATAATGAGAGTTCGAGACAGACCCTGTGAATGGAGTTGACAACATATTCAGCATGTTCTTCAAGAATAGCACTATCCATAGCAGAATGTTCCCCTTCGAGATCCACTGTGAACCAGTCCAACCTGGAATCATACTGGTTGGGCAACTTAAAGGAAGTCACATCAATATCCTCCCCTCCCTCTTCAGGAGTTAAGTAAGCATCCTGATAATATGTACGCTCTAGGGGCCCCGCTTGATATCCCCTATCAGATTCTGCTGCAAGTGACCGAACCTACAAAAACTGAAAATTCAGAACAAACACAAAAGCCAACATTCCATTGTCATAAAGACACAAACTTTCCAAAAAAAATTGCCAATAAAACACGAAGGGCGAGCATTTCAACAAAAACCCAGCTCCCATTTCCTCACCTGCTTGTAGCTGCCGCCATTTCCCGGAATAAAAAGCACGGGAACGCCGCTCAGCTTCTTCAGATGCTCCTCGAAATCGATCTTCTTCCATCCTTCGTGGTACAAATACAAGCTATATTTCGCAGGCGAAACGGGAGTCGTGGTAGGGATGGGAACATAAGTGGGATACATGTACGTCATGATGCATCCATTGGAGACAGGCTTCAACAAATCATATAAACCCGCGAAACAAACACACAAGAGGAAGGCGACGAGCAGTGCTACTCTGGATTGGGCTTTAAATCCTTGCAGTTGCATTGTGAAAGCGGGAAATTGCGGCTCGATTAATTAATCTCCGCATTCACCCACAATTTAATGACTAATTTCCTGTAAAAACAAATTAATTAGCAAACTAATTGAGAGGAAGAAAGCATTAAATTGAACTGAAATTTCCATAATAATTTTTAAAAAGAGAGAGAGAGATCCGTTACAGAAATTTAGTTAAAAAAAGAGAGGGAAAGAAGAAGGTGGATTGGAAAGTGCTTACGAGTGAGGCGATAGATCTGGGAGGAGGAGCTGAAGAGCGACGGCGAGGGGTCACCGGATCGGAGATTTGAGCTGGTGGAGCTCGGAATTCAGATTTTCGAGCGAGAGAGAGAGAGAGGACAACACTCGCAATCTCCGACACTGTTGGCCAAAATAGAAAGCAACAGAGAAGGAGAGAGAGCAACTGCTTTTACGGGTCGGATCGGGTGGAAAAGTCGGATTTTTTGCGAGGAAAAGTTAATGGGTAAAGTCTGAAGTTATGGAGATTAATCTAAAAAGTAAACAATATAAATAAATAAAATAAAAACTAACCAAAGGTTTACAAAAAAAATTAATTTTAACAAAAAAAGACAAATAAAGGTGTAATGCATAGTACCAGAAAAAAATAAAAATGTGATTTTTTGTTAAAAATAAACAATACCAACAATGTTTCATTAAAACTCTCAATAAACAATCACAACAAAATTTATTTGAGTGGAACTTTAATTTGAAGAAAAAAAAGTAACTAATCATGTATCGTATAGCTTTTCATCGATTAAGGAGACACTAAAGTAATGAGATTAAATCACATTTAACATTATCTTATAAGCATGTTTTTTTCAGCTTATATTATAAGTAACCAGACACTAAAATATGTATTTTCTCAGTGTTTTCCCAACACCAATACATAGTGTAAATAAAGGTAAATAATGGTGAGTGGAGAAAACATAGGTTAACATACGACTTCCTGACTCCAATTATTTGGAATGGAATTTCACCCCTTCCAAGGCCATGTGCCCATTTGTCTCTTTCATTGCCATTTAACACCCCTAGTTAACTTTTTAATCATTTCTCTTCTACGAAACATTCGATACTGATAGTCAAAAATTGGGAAGAGTGAAAAATAAAAATGAATGTTTTCGGTTGTGTGAATAGTATTATCCTAAAAATATATAGCGCTCCAGAAACCTTAAATCGAAACGAAGATATATATAAGAGAGATCATAGAGGCATCATTTCATTTCATGAGGCTCTAAATAAAACAATAGCAACAACAAAACCTTATCCCACTAAGTAGAGCCGGGTTCATAAGCGTCTAAATGCATAAAGAAATTTAATTGAATTGAGAACTATATTAATGAGAAACAGTACTACATCATAATGCACAGGGAAAAAAAATGGCGCAAGAAAACGTCCGAATGCGGCGCTCCTTGCTACAAAGGGAGGGTAAACATTTCACAGCCTCATGTACAATCCTACTCTCAGGCAACTTCTCTATCTTACAAAAACACAGAACATGACACAGTCACAAGGGATGATTTCGAAGCTGAAACAACCCAAGAGATCGAAAAGGAAACCACCAAAACAATGTCGTATGAATTCCAGGTAATCACAGCAAAACCTGTTTTCTCTGGCTCAGTTTTTAACAGAATACACTGGCGGAGATGATTGTGCTGTGTTGCGCCATCGCTCGGGGTGTTTGTCTCCTACCTAATATGAGAACTCGTGACCTCGAAGTGAGATGTATTTCTTGACCCAGATGGCGATGTCCTCTGCACAAGCCTGAGCCTGAGGGGTCTTGAGAAGCATATCAAGGGTTGCAAATTCGTGAACTGCATCTTTATACTCCAGTACAGGTGCATCAACGTTTACCTTCCGAAGTTCCTCTGAGTAAGCAATGGCGCGATCTCTCATCCAATCATGTTCTGCCACTACTGTAAGGGTAGGAGGCATAAGCTTTAAAGGTGGGCCCCTATCTGGGATGAGGGGATTGGCAGCTGGGTGATCCAAGCTATACTCTTCCTCAGGTAAAAATAGTTTCCATGCTAGTATGCACATTGCCTTGTCATAGAAATAGGAGTTTGCCAGTTTTATCTCAGAGTGGGTGGGAACACTTCCAATGAAGAACGGGTACATCAGGACCCGTGCAACCACCTTCACAGGGTCCAAAAGCTTGCCTGCCTCTACAGCTTTCCGGGCCACATAGTCCGCAATGTTCGCACCACAGCTTACACCAAGAAGAACACATCTGTTTGTGATATCAGAACAAGAAGTTAGAAATTTCCCATGTAGCCTTCTTAAATTCCAAAAGCGGGAACAAAGAACAAACAGAAGAAACTATATTACAGAACGAGAAAATGCAGATAATAAGTGAATTTATACCTAATGTAGGCAAACAGCTATTCAATTTAAACAAAAATGGAATCGAGATTGTGCTGCCAATCAACTGGAATGTCATAGAAGAAGGGAAGCAAAATGCAGAATGCTGACTGACTTAGAGAGACAGCTGAGTAAATCTTCAAAAATTAATGGAACATAAAAGTAAGACATATTCTTCTCTGAAGGGGAATCATTAAGATAATGATGTCACACATTGAAACCCCGTAGGCCAATACTTGGCAACAAGACAACAAGTTAGTCTTATATATTTCATTGTGCTTAGGTCATTCCATAGCGGATATGCCAGTAGCTTCTAGAAAGCAAAGACAATCTTACATCAACATATAGAAATACTGCTCCACCTACTACTGCTTCCTTAACCTATCTACTCTTTTCATCAAGAAATCTTGAGATTTGCAAACAAATTTGGGATGAAAGCGAAAACTGTTTTTCTCTTAACCTACATGAATCCAGCATATACTCTAATATAAGGGGATCAACATATCAAACGGGGCAAAGAAAAGCAGAAATTACTTTAGAAACAAACCTTACCAAATTCTCTGGCAAATTAAAATTCAGTCATCAATCAATACTTGCCCTTCTAAGTTGAAATTAGCCCTATTAACCAACCAGTGTATCTATTTATATACATATACGACTGAATTGACATTAACCGAAGTTCTCGGGAGATGGAAATGAACTCAAAAACTAAAGCATTGCCACCAGCAACCAGCCTAGACAATTATTTTAAGTTGGGAAAACTGGTCCCAAGATTTGGCTAACAATATTGCCATTATTAAACCAATTGGCAATCAAACAAGTATTAAAACTCAGCTACGAGAAACCAATAACAAGAAACCAACTCACGCATCTGGTAAACTCCAAAAAAATGCATTTATGTAAATCACACTATCAAAATCTACAAACTGAACTAAGAAACTGTAAACTCATATATCATCATCAATCATAACACACTAGATTAGAAATGCAAGTTTAAAGTGATCAAAACAAGATTATAACCTTGTTGGATCTCCATGGGCAGCTAACCAGGGCTCAACCATTGACGCCCCGAAAGAGTCCACGATATGCCTATGAGAATCAGTCTTCTTAAACTCCGTAACGCCACCGAGCGCTCCCTTTCCACTTCCCATGGACTTACAACACTCAGCTAAATTCGCTTGCTTCCCAAGCCAATTCAACACCTTCAACCCGTCCTCAAATGCCGCAGGGTACCGATTCTCCGGGGCAAGCCGATAACCCACCGCCAATACTACGACGTCACAGAGCTTCGCAATCCGCCTGCAGAAGATATCATTGGCTACCGAGTCATTACTCCCACTGACCCAACCGCCGCCGTGAAACTGCAACATGACCGGCAATTTTCGACCTGTCCTGGTCGAATTGCCCGGCGAGTAGCCTCTGTACACTCCGGCGCCGGCATTGGCCATCAAATTCAATCCCTCCATGTCATTGCTACAACCATAACTGTTCCGTCTCTGCTCACTTTTCGCCAAATTGGACACCGCCGGATTGCCATAGCTGTTGCGCCGAGAAGGGGTGGCCGGTAAATTGTTAAGGCTCTGCCGGACCGGATCGGCTCGGTTGGGCCCGTTATTGAGATCGGATCGCTTCGGTGCGGCGATAACCCTAGGCTTGGAAGCGGGTTCAGGTGGGGCGAGGGCGGACTCGGGGAGGAAGATTCGGATAGAAAGAGAAGTGAGGGGGTCGATGTGGATGTCCTTGGTGGCGACGCCGTCGTCAAATACCGGATTGGGTGCGACGATGGTTTCTTCGGGTCGGGAGGTGACACCAAAAGGGTTGAACTCGTCGGGTTGGTTTTGGATCCGGTTCTGCAATCGGTGCTTCAAGAGGAACTTGAAGAACACGCTGTAGAGCTGCACAGCTACGCTTGGCATTTCTCTCTCTCTCTCTCTCTCTCTCTCTCTCTCTCTCTACAAATTGTGGGATTTGCAGAGACTGGAAAAATGAGAAATGGGGGGGTGGGATTTTCTGGGTGTTAGCGTAAATTCATGGCGGATTAAGGATTAAGATTAAGGGTAAATCAATCTCCCTGTGAAAGTGGATTCACATGGGATTAGGGTTTTGTAATCGGAGAGAGAGAGCTTCAATCTGAATTTTAATGGCTTCAATGGCGTCTCTCGGATGGCTGCGGCTGGCTTGGTCAATTTTTATCATTTTTTATTTTTCTCAATTTTTTATGATTTCCAATTTATTTTATTTTCAAGGAGAATTCTGGATTCTGACTTCTTTGTTTGAAAAGAGAAAAATATTTATTAGCAAGAGGAATTATCAAGTGTTTCATCTTCACGCTATGATGGAGGGACTTTGCTGCATTTTTAAGTGTACGCCATACCACTTGATTGTGGAGTACAACAAGTACATAAGAGGTAAAAAATCCTACGTCGACTGTTTTGACAAAAAAAAATTGGTTTTTTGGTTTTAGCGGAGATACTAAAATCGTATATCAATTGACATTTTTTATTTTACCGTCAAATTTGAAGAAATGTCTAAATTTATTTTATTTTATTTTAATATGGGATATTTTTTTATTTTATTTTTTTTCGCTTATTAATTATTTTATTATTAAATTATGATCCACTTGATTTTATAATAATGAAAAAAAACATTTTAATTTGACATTCGGCTGTAATATGAAACTTTACAAAATGTTATTCTGTTGCATCACCTATAAAATAAAATTTAACATCTTAATTTGGCATCTTCATTACTTAGTTCGAAAGCTGTTTATTTCTCAATTGTAGCATTTATTTAAGAATTTTCTATTTAAACCACATTTTTGAAACAACTTTAGTAAAAATAAATAAATTAATAATGAGTATAATAAAGTTCATCTCTTCATTGAAGCTAAGATCATTAAAAATCTAAATTTTTTTACTTTAGTGTGGGATTTAAAATATTGAATTGAATGGTGACTATGAGTTCTACAATTTAAGAGTAGTGCACTTGGCTAAAGTTTGGGCAAATACAACAGTGTAATTGATGCTCCTAAATAGTTGTCCCGCCCTCCTCCTCAACGCATGATTAAAGTAATCGCCATACCATCCTTTTACTGTAAATAAATATTTCAGAGTAATAATAGCAACTCATTTATAAATATGAAAATGTGAAATTACTTAGACAACCAGCTAATTCTGAGTTTGCAATACGTTTTTTTATTCCTAATATCGAAAGAGATTTCAAAGTTCAACGTTTCATTTTGAAAGTGCTTTTAAAATGACCGAAAACAATTTTAATGAGAGCACTTTTGGAACCAATTATTAGTAAAAATGCAAGTGAATCTTGAAAAAACACTTAAAGTGCTTCCTATAAGAAGCACCTAACTGATGCTTTTGGAACACATGAACACTTTCACCAAAAACGCTTTCAATCATTTTAAAAACACTTCTAAACAAGCCCCAAATCCCGTTTTCAATTGGTAAAAAGAAGTAAACAAGTGGATAATCATGATTTGACTATGAAAATTGAAGAGATAAGGTAGGAGTCTCTCTCACTTTTCATAATCACTCCATCTTTCTCCTCTTCATCTGCGTCATTTGACGAGTAACTTCAATCAGTTTTTTAGTTCAGAACATAAAATAATCAAATCATCCTCCCATTTCCTTTTCATTCAATTTGTTTCCTAGTGTGTAATTGGACCAATTAGCATATCCTCGTCAGCTACAGATAGGCCATTAATAATTGGAATCAAACATGAATTATTGTTCAAACCAGGTGCAATCAAGTGGGCCACAGAGCAGTCAAGATGACGGTATTTCAAACTAATCATGCACTATCTCGCTCCGAAATGTCAGAATGATGGTATTTCAGACCAATTAAGCACTATCCCGCCCCCATTATTAGGATGACAATATTTCAAACCAATCATGCATGTCCCATCACCGAGATGTCAGGATGACAGTAACGCTAAGGAGACTCTCAAACTGTGACTCTTTATGGACTCTCTGACACCTCACAGTTTAATGTCTATGCTCGTGCCAATATTATATAACATTGTACCAAAAACATAAGGTGACAAAGAATCTCGGGATAGTCTCACTTTTGAGAGGGTCTCCTTATCATTTATCTCCAAACCAATCATGCACTGTTCCACGTCCGAGTTGTCAGGATGATGGTATTCCAAACCAATCATGCTCGGACTGAACTCCGGAATTTAGGCGTTACAGGGATGGATACATTTTACAAAGGCAACATAGTTTGACGATGATGAATTGATGATGATACATACAATACAAGTAAACGAAGATTGAGGAAGAGGATGTCTCTATTAAACCAAACCCCAAAATATGTAACCACTGATACGTCAATTTCAAGCTTTTTTGTAAACTTTAGAACCCCGACGACGAAGGATCAGCTTTACTCGCCACACCTGCCGAGACCATGCTTGTGTTGTGGCAGCAGCACCCCCGTTGTTCTTCTACACCCAATCCTATATGTACAGCCCAACATCCCGATATGGAAAGCCGAAAGGGGGCTAACTGTATGCCAGATTGAGCAGCCATAAGTGTATGCTCTGTGACTTGATCACCGGACAACCCAAATTTCTGCATGTAGGGGAGGAGCCAACAACAAGAAGATTGACATCTCAGAACTTATACAGCAACGTCAGTTTATCGACTGCATAATAATTTGAACATCGAAACCACTGTAATCACATCACGGGGTATCTCAAAGTTCCAAGCCAGAAGGTTTGCCGGTGGCTCCTTTGGGGGACACAAGCACTGCTTCATTGCTCGTAGCATTCTTTGCAGCAATCTCTTCCAAACGTTTCCAAGTATTTTCACGTTTCAAACCATTTACAGTCTCTTGTGCTTCATCTTCCTGGAATTTGAGCAAGCATTCCTCAAAAAGCTCAGGGTCAATATCAGAGAAAATCTTACGAACGTTTAGTGTCAGGCTCTGTACTGCCTGGTTCCAGTGGTTTCTTGCATTTTTCTCCAATGAAGGGAATATGATTGGCAGTAGGACATGGCGGTTCTGTTTGATTAGGTTCGCAATGTGATCATTATTCCATAAGAACAGAGCTCTCTCTGCCACCTGCAAATGAAGCACGAACTCGATATATGAGATTGAGAGCAAGAGAGCTTAGAGCAGACAGAGCAAATCTAGAGTACACAAACAAACTATCATGAACCCATGTTAAAGAAATTGTAAATCTAAAGTACAGAAATAAATTAAGGAAAATATCGGTTTCCATTTTGTTTCAATGCAGTTGAAAACCGAAATCACGTTTTCTTCTACATACTATAAAGCCCGTAGATCGTTCCATAACTGACTTAGCTATGACCAGAAATTTCCTTTCAAAGATACTGACCAACTTGTTACTCTACGGGTTTCATACTTAATTACAAGAAACTTAATAGATTCCAGAACAGACCAGAATATTGCAAGAGTAACTCAAAACAGCATCTTAAGATCTACGATTTTAAATTTTGAAATGCCTAAGGTGCATCTTCACAAAGAAATATACCAACAAAAGTTCATTAAAATATTACTTTCTCCATGGTACCATAATTTGTAAGCTTTGAAAAGATTCCACAGAGGATACAAACAAAATGAAAAAGCATATAACTCAACAGACATACTGCTATGTTTGAAATAACAAAGGTTAACACAGGCCTGTACAGAAAATAGGAAACTAGCAAGAAGAAAACAGATGAAAGTGGAGAGGCTGCCCACCTGAAAATGTGAACTGCTCAAGCAACGACCAATTTGGCGAAACAGCGGCACCATGCAGCGCTGGAACTCTGCAGGCTGAGTTGCTTCTAAAACTTCTTCCAGTTCACCTAAGAACATGACCTCCTTAGAACTATTTGTAATTGGCCAATATTTGAGTAAACCACGAATTATTGTATCAGCAAGTTTGCAGTCTTTCTCCACAAATTGAGTAATGCAGTACGATAACTGCTGGTGGTACAAGGGTATGCATTTTGGTTTGTGAAGTGGAATAAGCACTCGAACAAGAAAGAGTTTGTGCTCTTCTTTCAGCGGCAGAGCAAAACCGTTTATTATACTTCCCAAAATCTCTAACAGCTCTGCAATCCCATTATGCTTTTCAGTTTCAAAAATAAAATGATAGAAGATGTTGTTGATTGCTTTCCGGATGAACGGGCGGTACACCATAAATTTCCCATAGATGCGGTGCAGAACTGTTTTCAAGTAATCCCTCTCTCTGTGGTCCTCCGAATCAAAAAGACCTAGCAACCTGAGAACAAAGGAGTGATCTATGTATCTCTTAGCCAACTTTGCATCCGTCTCAGGTGATGCCACAAACCTCAGGAAGAATTCATACACAATTTGCAAGTGCGGCCATCCTGGGTCCATTGAAGGCTCTTCCTCTTCTAAGTCAAAGGCCTCTAATGCTTTGTTTTCAAGGGGTGTAGAAGTGAGTGTTCTAAATAAATTTATGCTCACCATCTTTACGATTTCTTGCATGACAGTTTCTGAGAATTTCCCATTAGCAGAAGCAATGTAATCCACAAGCTCTACCAATGTCTGTCGCTTGATCTCCTTTTCCTTGATGTTCTTCGTTGGGTCATTGAAGTCAAAGACAACACAACACAAGTTCAACTTTTTTATCAACAAATTCTGCTTCTCTGCATTCGGGACATCTTTGAAACTAGGCAATGCCTCATATGGAGAAGTCAATGAGTTCCCATTAAGCCTTGAAGTCACATTTACTCCAAAGTTTGGAGTAGAATTAGCGCTCGAAAAAGATGTAGTACTCGAGCTCGCGTACTTGTTACTTGATATAGAGTTGCCTCTTGAACCGGTGGAAGCATTTGAATTAGAGGAAGAGGATCCTCCCACACGATGCTCAGATGACTTGGGCTTCCTCGGGAGCCTATTAAGTATCTGTTTGATCATAACTCAATCGACAAAGGAAAAGCTACTAGAGCAAACACAGCATCGGTGATATCCGAAAGACAAGTCTAATCAGGCTAGAAAACCCCAGAAACACAAAGCCAAAATCTGGCACAAAGAAGCAAGAACCGAAACCTATAAACTTCTCATGTCTTTCCTTGGTAAACACAGTGACTTCCCCTTAATTAGAAACCAATGTTCAAACCCAGTTGGGGAAATCTGGAGCAGTGATACCAAACCCACCTCAAATGAGAACAAAGCTGCATATAAAAATCCATTCGGACCCGAAAATTAAACAGATTACTAGAAATTTCCAATCTTTAATTACTTAAACAATGCAAAAACAACAGCTTTGCTAAACTTTAATCTCTGATCCATTAGCAAAAGCAAAATCCAAGTAAAGCTTGACTTTTTACAACAAACAATCTAACATCACAACCTATATCGGGAAACCCAGATGTAGAAAACCTCAAAACAATCGAATTTGTGTTCCAAGATTAGAAAGTTTGACTTGTGCAAAGACCCACATAAAAAAATAAACGAAAAATACACTGAAATTTTGCCCCTTTTCACCAAAATTGACAAGAAATTCAGCTGGATCATGACAAAACAAGATCTGGAAAACCCATTTGGCATTCTCCAACAAAGATTAACATGCACAAATTTCAAAGCCAGAAAGTGGAAAGTTATTGCAGAGCTGGAAAAACATGCAATGAAGGGAACAGAGAGTCAATTTTCGGAGAAAATAATGAAATGTTCGGAGATACTTACAGAGAGAGAGGTCGGAGCTGTTGTTTCTTGTCTTGCCTTTTGGAGATAGAGAGAAATAGGAAAAAGGTGGGGTGGGAGGGGTGTTGAGGAACAGAAAATCTTTGGCGGCTGTAAGCCCTTGTTTTTGTCCGATGATTTTTCTTTCTTTTTTCTTACATGAAAATTGTAAAATTTATGGTTTTGATTGGAAAAAAACGAAAATAAAAAAAATTGTCAAATTTATAATATTATTTATTAATTTATTTGTTTTAACTTTGATCAGGAATTTAATTTTCAACCTCAAAAGACCAAAACTGTTCCTCCTTGCTCTCACTTTGATTCACTGCAGATGACGAGAGTCGAGAGAGGTCGCATTTGACTAAAATAGCCCTCCAATCTACAGGCACTTTCGGTTGGAAAGAGTCTTTGGAGAAGAAAGTGAAAGGTTGAAATTGTAATTTTAGCACTTGACAAGAGTAAACTGCATATTTGCCCCCTGAACTATCACCCAGCTTTCGATTTTCCTCCTGAACTTTTTAATTGGAAAATTAAGGACTTAAACTAATTTTTTTGGCCAATTTGCCCCCTGTTGTTAATTTTTCATTCATTCATCCAAATTTCTGTTAAATGGAAGCATGTGCACAACGGGTGTGGGCAGTTCGGTCGCTTCATTCTTTAAAATAATTGAAAACCTTAGATTTATAAAATATAAACTTAGGCAAATATGTGTGATTCTATAGGTTTTGTGTCTGAAGGTCTAATGAAGTGATGTTTTTGTCCACAAATGAGAGTTACGAGGTTTGCACATGATAAGAGTTAATATTAATTTGGATGAAATTTATGAAAAACTAATGGTAGGGGGAAATCAGCCAAAAAAATTAGTTTAAGTCTTTAATTTTCTAATTAAAAAGTTCAGAGGAAATTGAAAGTTGGGTGATAGTTCAAGGGGTAAATCGGCAGCTTACTCCACTTGACAAAGCCAAGTGAGATGTCACTGTGCAGTGTGCCCTTTAACTGACCGTCGCGGTCGAAATTTCAGTAAAATTGTTTGATTACAACAAATTTGAACCTATATTAATTAAACTCTAGGGTTTTATTAGCGATTCCGATCAATATGACTACGCAAATATTTGCAAACAGAACTCATTAATTATCATAATTCATATATGAAGCTCATTTTTCGTTTTCTTCCGCTTTGTCTCGACCGACTTATGACTTGCTTTGCGCGGCTGCGCCCCGTCAAGAGGGCAACCATTTCCCTCCACAAATAAAAAGCAAAATGACATGTATAAAAGAAGATATTTTTCACCGTGACGAAAACACGGCTCGATGCACAAATGTAATAATATAATTAGTTGAAAACTTAAAAAAACTAAAAAATATTCCAACCAATTGTACAGACAATTTTTCCGACGCGCTTAAAACTTTCTCATATAAAAGGACAAAGAAAAAGACAGAAAAACCAACTTTTGTGTAATCTTTCATCATTTACTTGATTAAACAACGACATTTACTCACAATTCCAGCATTTTCAAAGAAATAATTACCCTTCTAAAAGAATATTAAAGCTAAAAAAAAGGAAGTAAAGCCCTATGGTTCAACAACTACTTCTCACATCTGTGACGTTTCAGCAACTTACATTTAGGTCAGATTAATCAGATACATGTAAAAATCGAACCAACAACCAATCTTGTCAGTTAACCGAAGCATGAAACTCGATAGATCGATCGCTGCACAGGACGGGGCTAAGAAGTACACGTGCATTAAGTTGCTACATTGTAGTTTCCTAATCATCCATGGACAAAAACACCCCAGGAAATGTCTGCAGCTTACATCTCGTTGGGAGCAGTGGAACTTCAACATGATACAATCATTTCGGTTCGGAGCCATTGTCAAGCATGTACAACAGCACTGCTAGGAAGGTTCACGGTTTCCTCCAAACAAACGAACTGCGCTGAGTTGGAGGGGGGAAATGTACAGAACATCAAAGAAATGATACAGGCATGTCAAGTTGTCAACAATAATTTGGGAAAGTGGAAAGTGTCCCGGGAAATGGAAACAAAACCATCGCAGTGACCAAATAGCTCCTTGACCGATAATTCAGGTCGCTCAAAATTCAGTTTCAGTGCTCCATTAAGGCTGTTTCAGTTTCTGAAAGTGGTGCTGCAAAAAGAGTCGAACAGAACTCTCAGCGGGAAGAAAATATGGAGGGACAAAACAAAAGAATTATAGTGTAAAGAAGCTAGAAAACTATATAGCTCGACCAGGAAGCATACATATATTAATCACACTGATACACAAATGGAGCCAGCTAAGATACAAATGGTTCATTTTCGACAACTTCACTTTGACTTGCAATATAATTAGTGGAGGATGTTCTCACAGGAAGATAAAAGAAGTGTGTTATATAGGTCCAGTGGTGATTGATCTCAATGCTATAATGGCTATCCCCAAGGTTTGACGATATAAGGTAGAAAACCTAGTGCCAGAACCAGTACAAATAACCATATACTTGGAATGACAGAAAGCATTCAATAATAAAATGAAGTTACTGATAACAACGTCTACATATACAAGCCAATATAACGAAACTAGTTGGTGACCAGAGCAACATACCAAGTAAGTCTTCATAATCTGCTAATAGTGATGAGTCCATTAGCAAAGGAGGTGAGAAAACCTGCTCCCGAGCTTCCTCAAAGTCATAAAATGATCTCTGTGTGTCCGAAACAGCACAGTTTGAACCAGCAGCGGAAAGAAACCCATTTACTTGGTCAAAATCATCAAGTGAATCTAAATCATTCAACACTTCAGATAATTCGGCGTACTTGTTCCCCACATTACCATCAGGAGCACGATTTTCATGAAAGGAAGCCTCGGTCTGAGCTGAAAACCTTTTACTCCTTAATGAAGCCCCTTTAGACTCTTGGCCTAGACGAGAAAACCCAGATGATGAAAGAGGTAAAAAGAAATGCTCAGAGCTTTCATCAGAATGGCTGCCTCGTGATGATTGGGAACTTAAGGAATTCTGTGACAGAGCAGCTTCTCTAACAGATCTCTTTAGATTCTGGACATAATAATGGTCACTGTCTGCATAACATTAAACTAAAAATCAAAAACCTTTACAACAAAGCTGTTCAACCACCAATAATCCGGATATAAAATGAAATGCCTTGGGCAAGCGGACACGCTTATAACACAATGAGAATTTGAGGAACCAGGCACAGATAACAGACCTTGTGGTAGATTATCTATGTGATTATTTGATAAGGCTGCTCCACAGACTTCCTTTCAGGAAAGTTCTCTATTTGGTTTGAATGAGCAACTGAAGCAGGGCGCTTATGCATATTTGCACCTTTCCCAGAAGAATTAGAAGTCAAGTTAAACAACTGTGGGAGCTTTAAAGCAGGGCTGGATGACACCTTTTCGAGCTGAAAGGTAGACAATTTTGAAGTCACCTCAGCCACATCATCACTGTTGCTTTCCTGAATTGTTCCAAAGGAAACCAAACAGGTTAAATGAATTCTACGCTGCAATAATTCAAGTCTAGACATGATTTTAGTAGGTACAAGGTTTGCACTGAAATAGGTTCAAAATTACCAATGTCCTTCCACTGCTCTGTGCTTGAATAGGTGAAGTTGACCGACCAGGTTGTTTGGTCATCGGAGGCAGACTAGATGAAATGCTATCTACTTTATCTGTACATTCTGATATTGACTTTTGTATTGCCGGAGCAACTTCCTTCAGTTGGTTAATGAGAACCTACAGAAGTTATGAATTCAAATCTCAGCATAGCGTTGTGAGTCATAATAAATAAATTATGCACGAGAGATGAAGGGGACTAAAGAAGGGAATATGGACAAATAATCTCACTTTCATTATTGACTGTTCTATGATGACTATTCAGTTACATATTTCCAAGCAATTTAATATGCACTACCCCATATTACAACAACTTCCTACCAACAGAAGATCAACTTGAAATACTTCATGCATGATGGAATATCAGCATGGTGAATATCAGTGTATTAGTAGACCTCTTAAACAACAGACTACTCAAATAATACAGATATTCACGATGGCTCAAAAAGCACATGAAGAAATTAGAAACCAGTTGACTCTAATGCAAATTCCCATAATTCAAACTATATAAGCTGACACCACTGTCGCAAAAGCAAAGAATTATTGCCAGATTTCAAGACTCGAATGCATAATTCCATTTAAAGTTTAAGCTCGATGCCTGCCAATCTCTTTGCATTTGCCATCAAATGCAGTCACATTGCGGCTACCTCACGTATTGGTTCCTTCATCATATAACTTCATATGTAATAACCAGTACTTTTAGCTAAAGAAAAAGCATTACCTGAAAGCTAACCAAGTGTTGCTGATGTTCAGCAAGAGTTGCAGCTAGAGACTCAGCATGACCACTTGAACTGCCATCCTGTGCACTTCTTAAAATTTCTGGACCCTCTCCCTCATTAGCCTTTGCCTACAAATTAACATTGCATAACACCAATTTCACTACGTTTTTCTTACTTGTATCCAACATTCTCATGAACATATACGAAGTAGCATACCATGTGAAGTGATTGTTTATGAATACGCTGTAAAGCATGCGTCCAACGCCTGATAATTTCTGCCACGTCAACAGTTGGATGGACTCTTCCACTTCTTTCATCTGCTACTTGTGAATGGGATGAATCTGCTCCATCATTTTGTTCTTTTCCATCCGCATGTGTTGGAGTAAAGTCACCTGACTGGAAAGATAAGACATCTCCATAAGGAACCTGAGAACTCTGATCCATAGCTGCAAGCAAAGACGATCCAGAGATGCGGTACCTAGAAACCATTGCATGCAAAGGTAAGTAGGTGAAGGGTTTCTAGTGATGTTTAAATGATACTTAATGGTAAATTACCTATGCTCCCTGTGAGCTATTAAGTCCTCAATAGGGCCTGAAGCAAGAACTTCATGTTGACCTATACAAAATGAAGATTTAATTAGTTCATCAAACTGGGTACATATCGAATCAGATCTTAAATAACTACATACACATATAAGGTGTGATCATGTGACGTTATTTGATAATATGTAGAAACCTAAGAAATTTAAAAAGGACCATGAAAGTTTGGACTCACTTTTACGGGCTAATATAGACTCCCACAGACGAGTAGCTTTTGATACTAAATGGGAATTCTGACTCGAACTAGAAACAAGGTCATCCCAGTGTTCCCCTTCCAACTTCACTTTGTTCCTAAGGTCATGTAATTTTTCCAGTTCTTGCTGTAAATAAGCCTGAGATTCATGTTTTACAAAGAGAAACATAAGAATTCAAATTGTATCGCAATAGGTGAATTGCAAGATTTTTCACATAAGGTTCTACCAAATTAAATTAATTGTTGGAATTGAATTGTTACCCTTATACCTCTTCAGCACAAAGACCACGAAACTCCGCAGTCATTTCATGCGCCAAATTCGACCACATGGCCTGTCTCTGTACTGCTGTTTCCGCATTCTTAAGAAATCTTCTTCGTTCAAGCGCTATTCTAGCCTGTTTAAGATGGTAAGCTCAAATAACAGCTACTGAATAAGCACGTCAAGTCAAATAAAAAAAACTCCACAGAGAAATGCAGATGTGCATTGAACCCTGAAAACTCATTTAAGAGTTATACAGAAAGAGAAAAACTTTTCATACTTGTGCAACAGTTCCAAGCTATTATAAGATGCAAAACCAACATGAACCATGCCCAAAGCTGAAAATATCAATAATTTGGGAACCACGATATCACGATGTCATCTGAAATGTAAATTATGCATGCTTCAAAATTATATGTGTAGGTCAAGACTACCTTAGTAACAGGAAGTAAAGTAGCTGCGTGTGAAAAGGCTACATCCGTCAGTGATGAAGGAAGTGGGTTAGAAGCTACATCAGCTGCAAATGTTCGCCTATGAACCTCTCGCAAACCATGCAACGAAAGCTGCCACAGAAGTTCCACAAACCTGCAGCCAAGCTTATGAATTAAGGACCCAAAACCATAAAATTATTGTGCAGGAGTAAGACAGAGTCATTTTAACCTAAGAGGACCACCAAAGCATTTAAGCAGAAAGTATTAATTCCCATATCATCGATTGGCTAATTTGGGGGAAAAACAAGTTCACCATGACATATAACTACATGTTCCCTGCATTCATTTAACAATTATTTATCACTTTAATGCAAAATGGCTGGCCAAGTGAGCCCAACAAAACTACGAACCTCGGTCAAATTAAGAAGCAAACTGTTAGTATATGTGAATTTTGGGTTTCTGTCAATTTTCTCGCCAAGCAAGCCCGACTCCACCTTAAAAGTTGAATAATTAAAGGCAGAAATGCACATAAACAAATGTAACAAACTCAAAACAACAATAGGAGGAGTAGCATCATCAACCGACCTGGGTCCGCAACACGTAGCAAGTGATGAAACCCTCGAATTGCTCCTCGGAAGCGCCCCCTGCGATTCGAGCTCACTAATGATCCCTTGCACAACCTAATCACCAACAACAAATCATCATATTTCATCCAAATGTTCAAATTTTAAAGGAATATCAAACCTGAAGCAACAGAAAAAGTGGAATCGTCGAATTTACCTTTCGAAAATCCCGCGATTGCGCGGAATCGAAGATTGGCCAGACCTTATCGAAATCCTGAAAGATCTAAAATCGTCAGGAACGTGATCCATAGCAGAAGATAGTATAACAAAGATGCACACACACACACACACACATGTATATACACACAGAAGTGAAATTCAAACATATATATATAATTATAGAGTGTAAATATATACGGAGGAAAGGAAATCGAGAGATTGTACTACCTTGGCGGATTGAATTGGGCCTCTGAGAGAAGAGAGGATGAAGTAGAGGAGCTGTTCGCCCTAATTTAGGGTTGGAGTGGCGGAAGAGCCCGACCCGAGGAGTGGCATTGGATCCTCCGAGCCCGATAATCGCCGGATCCAACCCTAACAGCAAACAGTTAGTGTACATTGCACTCTCTAGCTCTATCTCTCTCTCCTTCTCTCTGTCCATTGTCATCACCAACCTCCCTCTCCCTCTCCCTCTCTCTCTCTCCTCTCCCTCTCTCTCCTCTGTTTCTCGCTTTTCTGCTCCGTTCTGAATCAGGTTTTTTTTTTCAATTTTTTGGGGTTTTTTTTTGGGTTTTTTTTTGAAATGCAGGTCCCTGGAGAGTTTTCGTATTTGCGAAACGCGTCTGAGTTTTTGAATAAGTTGAGGTTGTTTTTGAAATAGGAAATGTAGAGGGACCTACGTTTAAGAATTCAATTTTTTTTTTTTTTAATATTAAAACTATGCCGTTTCGGTGGGGCCGGAGGGACTATGAAGAGTCACGTAGCCGGTTGGAGAATTTGAAAGGTACTGACGTGCGATAATGTTACAGTATTGCCGGCCAGCTCCGAAAGCGTTAGGTGCCGTCACCTCTTGTAGGTTGGTGAGGGCGATAACATGCCCCGCTGGACCATTTAGATTAAACAACACATTGAGTACAGATTTTTCACTGTACTTAGAACACGGGACGAAACATCACATATTATTATAAAATTGAAAAAAATATATGAAGAAAACTTTTTTCAATTACATAATAACACATATCTTATCATTTCGTATTTCGAACAAACGAAAAAAAAACTCTTCGATTTGAGGGTATTTTATCAATGATGTGTTTATATTATTAATTATGACTAATAAAATGTATTGATGTATTATCAATATATACTTGACGATTTTGATGAGTAAATGCTCTCCATCACTAGAGTTGTTAAACCCTAACGATGTAGACATAATTTTTTAACTACAAGTTTTATTTTCTTATACAATGATATTCTACTGTAGAGAGTGTCAAATTTTAGTTAAGTTATTTAATAAATCAAGGTTGTAATAATTAAATATCAAATTTGTCTTAATTGCAAAATTGACATGCATATAATCATGTGGATTAATTGCAAAATTGATGGTGAAAATCAATGTAGAGGGGAAATGCTAACATGATTCTCTCACAAGGGAGACTCTATAGTTTATATGGACCATGTCACCTCATATTTTTGACACAATATTTTATAACGTTACCACGAAAATTGACGTTAAAATGTGAGATGGTAGAGAGTTTGTGGAGTTTTGCTTTAAAATAATCTTATTAGCATTTCTCGTGTAAAAGATCAAACACATTAGATAAGTTAGTGAGCCGAAATGGTTCCACATTTCCGTTAGTGGTTGGACGATCAATGTACAATATTGGCTTCGTCGATTGACCTTGATTGAGTGTTGGCTAAGTAAGATAAAAGGCTATACTATAACTAGTGCCATCAACATTGGCCACCTAAAACATGCCCTTTCTTTCTCTTTTGCAAAGGAAAGCATATAGTGTTGCGAGACTCAAACTCATATTCCCTACAACTTGGCCATATAGTTTAACTTTGAGTTGATTGCCCATCATATAACGAGATATAGATGTTACGGTTAGCGAGTGATTCACTAAAAACTGATACGATGTGTAATATATCAAAATTACATTTAAATTGAACCAATACAACTTTATTTGGTTTATTTAGTTTTCGTGACTGTTTGGCTCTCAAATATTAGAAATCGAGCCAAATCATCTATGCTCTAGTAAAAGTTGGATGAGTTTAGACAGTTTTTGGCCAGTTTGATGCCCGCCCCTAGTTAATAACACTAAACCATACTATATGATACTTTGGAGTGACTTGCATTTGTAATTTTGCTCAGCTTAGGTGCCAACTCAAACAGTTTTGTTTTTTTGACTGGGTTTAGATTTCGATGTTTACAAGATAAATTATTTAAGCTGGGTGTAAAAATACAAAATCAAGAATTAAATAAAATTTTCCTAATCCAAATTGCGAAGAGAGAGACCTGAGCTCAAATGCACATAGAGCAATTTTAGCTCAAATAATTCTACCCTTATCAGATTTTATTTCCACAGGCCTTAACCAATGGTGGGTCCTGTTCTTTCTTTTCTTATTAGGAGCTCACATGCAAATAAATGGGGGAAAAGACCAAATCAAGGGATTCAGGTCCTTAAAATTTAATCAAAAGGCTACAAACAGGAACCTTCTTTAAAAATTAAAATAATTTTAGCAGTTGGATCAAATTTCAAGAACTCCAATATTTAATTTGGTGAATTTAGTGGAAATGATCCGAAGATGATCCATTTCGATAAATGGGTACTAAATTTCTAGCCCAATAAAGGTATTGGGCTTCAGCCCACAAAGTATTGAATGGTAAATCAGAATTACTGCAGTAATTTGAAAATAACTTTTACCCGTGCAAAAACTAACCATGTAGAAAAACTAGAAGGGCCTCGCAAAGAGGAAGGAATAACAGAGTATGCCATATTATACGAGGACACGGCGAACGGTGAACCCATGTTTGGATCCCTCTGATAATTTTCTGTCGGTGTGGGATTTCTTGGAGTCTTGCTGATGATCTTTGATGCTTTTTCTCACATACCCTTGAAGAGAAGGAAGTTCAGAAGTATTGATCACATGGAGGCCGAAGAAGCTCAGGTTCTTTTACCCAAAAAGTCCCAAACTTTCACTCACTCGCATTCGTATTTTCTTGATTTCTGTTTCTGGGTATTTGTTTTTGCTGCTGGGTCGATCTGGGTTTTGTGTGTAATCGATTTTTTTTGGGTTTAAATTGTTGATTAGTGATTGTTGCCTGTTTCTAAGTTGTGGGTTAGTGCCACAATTAGATAAGATTTACAGGATTTTGCATAATCTTTATCTAATTGTGGAAGTAATTGCTTCTTATCAAGAGATTCCAGAGGTGAAGATTTGAATGCTTTTAAGTTCTTGAGGAATGGATAGCTTGAGTTTTGGTGCAGCAAAAATATGGAAGAATTTGCAGTTTTGGATTTCCAAGTACAATTTAGTGTCTTTGTTGGTTTCCGTTTGCAGTGCTTTGCAGTTGCGTGCAAGTTTTTTGCGTGGTTCTACTTCGTATTTTCGATGAATTCGGTGTTTAGTAGCAGTGTAATTACGATATCCAAATTACATGTTGTAGTAATTATGTTAGTAGGTGCATAATACTGATGTTCTTGTCTTATGAATGTGTTGGATGAGGATACGGAATACTGCTTTTCGAATTGAGATCATTCTGTTTTCGAGATTAGATTGTTCCTGCTATATCTGATAATGTGATATCACATTTACTTTTGCCTTTTATTGATTCGTTGGGGTGAATTCAGGCCAAGCTCACAGCAGCAAAAGAAAAGTTCGGGAGAGAAATCCGTGTTTTTGAAACATCAGCATCTTCTTCTTCTTCACAAAGTGAGAGTCTAATACTGGTACGAGGCAATTCAACTAATTTGCCCCCTATTTTTTTTTCCGAAGCAAAGCGCGTTGAGATGCCCGATAGAATTTTTCTTTTTGTCATTTTTTGTTTGGCAGAGGAGCCAGAGGATTTCTATGAGTTCACTGCAGAGGATTATTATCGGGTTTTGAATGCCAAAAAGCAAGGTGATTGACAGAAACTGTATAAGCTATAATTTGAGGGGAAATATAAAAGCTTTTGTATGTGGTGGCGGGTCTTAAAGCTATATAGTTATAATCTGCCCAGCAATTATTTATGAATGGGAAACACGTTCTTCTTACGGCTTAGGAGTCTTGTAGATGCATCAAGTATTGTGTTTGCAATAACCAAAAAACATGCATGCATCTGTTGGCATGCGTTCTGTTTTATACTTACTGTATTTTGTTAATGCAATATGAACAGATAACACTCTTAAAACGCGAAAGTTAAGAGAAGCAGAGAAGGCAGCCCGCAGGTCAAAAATAACCAAGGTGGTTACTGTACCCTTTACTCTGACTCTCTTTGCTCCTTTTTGAATCGATTGTTTCTAGTTTTTTGTATATGATCAACTCCTTCCATTACCATTGGATTCGTAACCTATTAGGGTATTCCAAATCTTTTATTTAGTTTTAAAATTGCTTGTTATTAATTTGTTAAGTCATGTGCTCATGTATGCAGACGGTGATCAGGGTTCGATTTCCTGATAACCACACATTAGAGGCCACTTTTAATCCATTGGAAACAGTCCAGAGCTTGGTAGATCTTGTTGTCAAAGTGGTTGCTCGGCCAGATTTACCATTCTATATATGTATGCAAATATGAATCAAAATATTGAGTTTTCCATTTATGATTTCGGAGTAGAGTCTTACATTTCGTTATGCAGATACTACTCCTCCAAAGAAACCGATAAAAGACATGTCACAGGATTTTCACACTGCTGGCTTTGTTCCCGGTGCAATTGTGTACTTTTCATATGATATACCGAAAGGTTAGATATGAAGTGACCGCATAGGAATCTGAATTTTAGCTGGAAATTGTTTCGCTGATGTAAGATACGTTCCTGTGGATTTAAATAGCAAAGTTTGATGCCAAGTGATTAAGTATTCTTATTTCATGTCCAGCAGATGATGCTGCAGATGTCATGTCGGGTCCCTTTCTTCAGGAAGAGATCATGTCTTTGAAAGGTTTGGAGCTCATCAATAAGCATGTAGAGCCGCCTGTTCAGTGTGCACCAGAAACCATAACGGAGGCACCGCCCCCTGTTGTCCCAGAGAAGAAGCCTGAAGGGAAGAAACCTGCTAAGCCAAAGTGGCTGAAACTGTGACATGAATCACGGTAGTAACTTCGCAGGTGTACTCTATCAATCGTCTCATGTTCTGTGAATGGACGCACGTTTTTAAGATTGTGCTGGTTCGGGTGGTTTTTCATTGTCTGCAACTTGCCCTCGGATGCTTGTTAGGAGTTTAAAGAGAAGGCTTGTGTTCTTTGCTAAGATGGTTTATATTTTCTAGAACAAAACATTGTATGAATGTTAGCCGTATACAGCGTGCCGCTTTCATTGATTTGACATATGCATTTTGCCTATTTCCTCCTCCGTCAATGGGAGGGGAGATGCGATGTGCCAAATCCTTCCGGTGAACAAACCCGTAATGGATAGCAAAAATAACGGCCCTGTATACCCCAAGCTCCGATCGTCCTCGAAGTCCTGCAACCTCAGAACAAGCAGCTCGGTTTTCTTGGTTTAGACACTGTCGTACGAGCTCTTGATGCTCAAACCAATTCAAATAAGTGAATGAACCAGTTGATAATTTTATCCAGTGCTTCCAAGTGAGGAGCATCTTTAATTCCTCTATGCGAGCCGTTTGAATTTCTTGGCCGGTTAAGGCACCGGGAATCAGTCGCTGTGTACGTGCTTGCACTCAGGGGCGGATCCACCTTGGGACAAGGTGGGTGCTGACCCTCAAGCTTACAAATCCTTCATGGAATAGCTGGATGCTGTCGTTTAAAAACCTGAGATGTCCTTGAAAGTTGTCACTCCATGGGCTCGACGAATTAGCTGCTAGCCTCGTGACTTGTATGTGTTGTTTTAGTCATCTTTCGATAGGCTCATTTGGCATATGTTGACATATGTCGCATGATTGTTAGAATGTATTAACATATATACTTTAGACTAACAGGAAATATTAGAACATCTTTTTGACAATTACATCTCAGTTTCTATCCTGCATGAAGACATGGTAGTGATTCAAGAAGATCCTTCTACTTGCTGGGAGACCAGTATACTCTTATGGTGATAGTCTCAAAAGCGAAGAGTGTTTTTCTCTGTGAGTAGGGAATCCAATTTATAAAGTAAGGTATACACAACTTCCATCTATCGTGGGAGTTGGTTACAAACCCCATTACTTTCAATTCCAATTGTGGATGAGTGGGATCAAGTACATGTTTCAGTTTGAAACACTATGGATGTAACTCTCAATTATAGGGAATGGTTTTACACCTATACAAAACTCATACTGATTTATAATTCAAACATGTTGACTCATCTTTATTATAACTAGTTGAGTCCAATAAAGATTCTTACAATTGTCACTCAAAAGGTATTGACGTCAGTCGACATGCTCACTTGAAAATTGTTAACATTTGTCGACAAACGTGTAATATGACTTGACAAATGATCTTAAACATAATTAGTCTAAATAAGATGACAATTTGCATCGTATTTCTTTCAAAAACTTTTCCGCATTGTGGTATCGATTATTATTAACCCTCTTAATAATATTTTCTAGATCCGCCACCACTTGCACCGCTTCCATTCGTTCCTCAACCGTACCCTGGCATCCAAGAACATCCGAGTACCGAGTATTACAGTGATTGCCTTCGAAAGACATTCACCATTCTCCAGTGAGAGAGAAGTGGCGAAATGGCGGGGGCGGCAACCATATGAATTGTGGGACGCTGGCTTTTCTGATACGCACGTCACACGTCCTCCGTCCGTCATTGCTTACGTCACGCGACAGCACGCGGAAGGTCACGTGCTGGGTTTTTGGTTTGCTTCTAAATTGTTCAATCAGTCACCCCACAGTTTTCACATGATCATGCCATCTTTTGCCCTTTGGATCCTTAATGGGAACTTTGACCAAATTTTTTTGGTACTATTTATTTAAAAAAAAAAAATCATACTTTTATATTAAAAAATTAATCTTAGTACTATTCACTTTACTATTCATTTTATTCTTATCATTAAAATTTAAAATTTTAAATCATTTTCATTCATTTTTCTTATTTTAATATGTTAGTGGATAATTTGTATCATTGTTGATTGTTTGTTTTATCATATGATAAAAAAATAATTATTGTCACTGTTTTACAAAGTTAAGTTATATAGTTTTTTAGTGATGATGTTATTAATTTATATACTATAGCATGCGTGGTCGATGTAATTAACTTTTTTAAAATTTAATTATAATATAATTTGTTTAAAATGAGATCCAGTGTAACTAACATTTTTAAAATCTGAGTATTATATATATTTTTGAAACAAGATCCAATGTGCGTATTAATACAAAAATATACATGTTGTAATGTCAGTAAATTAATATCTTTCATTGTCTGCCACTTGTGATAAACTTCCATCCTTTTCCATTCATTGAACAGAATATGATATAATAAGGCAAGACAATAATTTACAATCATTTAAAGAAACAAAATAACATAAAATTAGTAACATAAAATATAATAAGATAAGACATTTGACTAACTTAGAGATCCAGCAATGAAACGTATTGAAATTCAAGTTTGAACCGCCTATGATAAATGCAAAGGAGAATTTTCTCAAAATGGGACACCTGTATATTCTCTGTCACCTTACAACTTAACATTAATTTATGTATATATTGTAATTTAATGTTAATTCTCGTGTCACATTACAATTACTCTTATCCTACTTTTCTTGCATTTTGAATGTCTTAAATTTGAATTCTTTCAATTTTTGGTGTTATGTCACTAATAATTACGACATCTGACCAACTCATCATTTTTGTCCCTTGCGGTTTGTCATTTACAGTTGCCACCGCACATCAACATGTTAGTATCGATCGCATCAAATTTTCAGTATGCCAACTTAGTACTGGTTTGGTACTGAGGTGTTTTTTACAAAAAATGGGTATAAAAAAAAAGCTGAGCTCAAAAAGATGGTAAACACTTAAAAAACAACTTATTTTTACAGTTTTTTGGGGAAAAAAAACTGAAAACGTGAAACAGCAAAAATGAGCTTATTCTCACAGTATGGTAGAAGTAATTTTTTTTAAAAGCACAGTAATACCAAATCAGCCTTTAGTATCATAGAACAAGTAGTCTTTTTTTATTTATTTTTTTATTTATCTAATCACTTATATTACAACGTTTGGATTATCTAAAAGTGTCCCGGCATCCTAAATAAATCCTTTATCCACTGCGGCAAAAATAGAAATGTGCGGAGATTGGAAGGGAGGTGACGTGTACCGAAAGAAAAATCAAGTTAGGCGGCCGGTGATGACTAATCGCATCGAGTCGACATAAAACCAGATAGAGAGTGTGTTTTAGAGAGAGAAGCAGAAGAAATCATTTAAAAAGGGCAGCGCCACCAACGACCAACCCTCTCATGAAGTCAGGACTTGAAACCTCCTCCATCACTTTCCACTTGCAATTCAACACCCACTTCTGACTTGACTTCCTCCCACTTCTCCCCTCTCTCTCTCTCTCTCTCTTTCTCTCCTCCCACTGCTCATTCACTGCATCGCAAAATCTCAATTTCTGCGAATTCGATCCGTCTTTGCTCCGTAATCAGGTTCGTAATCTCCTATTTACTTACTTAATTTGCTCAATCTGCAAGCGCTTAAGCAAATTTCATCGCTTTCCGATACCTCGGATCATTATTTTTCAGAAAATTTGATCGCTTTCCGATAGCTAGGATCATTATTTTTCAGATTTTAATATTTTGTTTTGATCTTTCAGCTTCGTTTTCTATCATGCAATTCGGTTTTCACAAGGAATTTGTTGTGAAGTGCGATTTTTGATGTTTTAAGTTTTTAAATTAATATTTTGGGGACTGACAAAATTGATAATTTACTTAATTAGCTTTAATCACAATTAGTGGACTAGGTACAGGGAAGATTAGCCACTCCTGTTGAATTTGCTTAATATTCAAATGCTCTATTATTGCGAATATATGCGAATCTCGTTTTGATTCCGGGACAGTGATTTGCTCTCATTGACTTATGCTTCAAGCTGCCTTGATCCAATCGAACTAAAAGATATGAGCTTTTTGTTTTGTGAAATAGCTTTTGAGCTGCTTGTACAGCTTAAAAAATGGGATCGGGATCGGGATCATGGCACGTGGAGAAAAGAAACAGCTTCCGAGGCGAACCCGTTAGAGACATTGATCATGTGCTCGAAAATGGGTCTCTCTCGATCATCGTGCTTGGCGCTTCCGGTGATCTTGCCAAGAAGAAGACTTTTCCGGCGCTCTTCAACCTTTATAAGCAGGTTTCTATTGTGATTCTTGTATTTGCATGCGTAAATACGGTCCGTCGTGAACTTACTTGAATCTCAACACTTTGGATTCGGTTATGGTATCCAAGTTTAATTGTACTTGAAATTTGATGAAAAAGTTGATAGAGTAGGCTGTGGAACCATGCATTGTGAGTGTGACTCTACTATTGGGTGTGTTGTTTGTCTAGGGATTTCTGCTACCTGAAGAAGTTCACATTTTTGGATATGCAAGGACTAAGATTTCTGATGAAGAGCTAAGAAACCGCATACGTGGGTGAGCTTCTTTTCTTTGATCATTTTCACAATTCCATTTCATTCATATGAGCGGAAATGATTAAGTTTCCTACAACAGTTAATCTACAGTTTTTTAGCTTACTTAAACTAATGCTAGGTACAACTCTTGTCCTCATCATTTCTGGACTGCTCTGCAGGTATCTTGTCCGTAACAAAGGAGCTTCACCCAAGGACGTGGAAGATGTAACCAATTTTTTGCAACTGGTCGGTGCCTTGTGCAACATTTTTGTACAATTCCATTCATATAATATCAATCCGTAAAGATATTGAATTGCATAATAATTTTCTTCTGTAGATCAAATATGTAAGTGGTTCTTACGATGGTGAGGAAGGATTTCGCCTGCTTGATAAGGAAATTTCAGATAATGAAATCTCAAAGCATAGTGCGGAAGGATCATCCCGCAGGCTCTTTTATCTTGCACTTCCTCCATCAGTATATCCCTCTGTCTGCAGGATGATCAGGCATTATTGCATGAATAGATGTAAGCTTTTCCCAATACTACATAGGTTTTCACCAACCCTGTATCAACACGGATAATTTGAAATAGCTATTCTTTCTAAGCAGGCATACATTTTGGCATTAAATGGTTCCAGAGTGAAGTTAAATGACAGGTCAATATTAATATTTGCAATTGTCTGATTATGATCATATCAGCTGATCTTGGTGGATGGACTCGTATTGTTGTTGAGAAGCCTTTTGGCAAGGATTTGGACTCTGCAGAGCAACTGAGTAAGCAGATTGGGGAGTTGTTCGAGGAACCACAAATTTACCGTATCGATCACTATTTGGGGAAGGAATTGGTGCAGAATCTGGTAATATTATAATGTCTGCATATACTTCCTTAGACGTTTCTGGTTCTTAATATTAATGAAATATGCTTATTTTTTTATTTGTATGTAAATTTGCAGTTAGTACTTCGTTTTGCAAATCGATTCTTTTTGCCCCTTTGGAACCGAGACAACATTGCGAATGTACAGGTGAGAATCCTTGCTTCAGTACTGATGATTGGATGTCGGTATTACATTGACAATGTACGGTACACATGGTACCTCAAGACATATAACATGCAGTAAATTTCATCCCCTTTTTCTTTAATTATGTTTATTTGGCAGATTGTGTTTAGGGAGGATTTTGGAACTGAAGGTCGTGGTGGATATTTTGATGAATATGGGTATGATTCACCAGTTCTATTGTCCCAATTTGTTGTTTAAATGAAAAAGAATTCTTTCATCCTTGAGAATGTTATTTATGGTTAAATTATCTGGAACTTAGTAATCTTTGTTACTAGAATCCGTATTAATTACGTTGTTTTGAGATTGTATGATGCTAATTGTATCTGGAAATATAATTGGATGCATCAATAATCGTTTTCTTTTTTTTTTGGCAGAATTATCCGCGATATTATTCAAAATCATCTCTTGCAGGTGAGACCTTTATGCATCAGAATTTTCTTCTTCCTTCCCTCCTGGTGAACCTTCATTCCAGGAAAAAGGCATTAAAACCTTCACCTGATTTGTTCATTCAATTTGTTCTGCAGGTTCTATGCTTGGTTGCCATGGAAAAACCTATTTCCCTAAAGCCTGAGCATATACGGGACGAGAAAGTAAAGGTGTGTGCATCCCCGATTCATTTAGGATGATATACTTTCTATAGTTTTCAGAAGGAAAAAATCAATTTGAAACGTGTCCCCATAGGAGATGTATAATATTTCTTTCATTATATGTGCTCTTAGTTCCAGAATGCCGTATCAGTTGATGATTAACGGTTGAAAATTTAGGTTCTTCAATCAGTAATGCCAATTGAGGATGATGAAGTTGTTCTTGGACAATATGATGGCTACACAGACGATCCAACTGTTCCTGACCACTCAAACACTCCAACCTTTTCAACCTGTGATTCTGCGAATCCACAATGAAAGATGGGAAGGTATGGAAACTTTCACAGTTCATTTACATTTTATTTGAACTAACTTTTGAACCTCCCATTTGGGAAGTACTATTGTCTTGGAGATTCAACTTGAATATAATGGTTGCTTTTATATGAATTATATCATGCATTGAACTCACTCACCATCAACGCGATTTTCTGTAGGTGTTCCTTTTATACTAAAGGCTGGGAAAGCATTAAATTCAAGAAAGGCAGAAATAAGAGTTCAATTTAAGGATGTTCCTGGTGACATATTCAAATGTAAGGCAGAGACTATAATTTTAAAGGGCTTAATTTCAACATATTGCTCCATCAATTGTATATATAATTTAATGCTAAACTGTTATTGAAATTCTGGCAACAAAACCGAAATTCATGATTTCCTGCTATGAAATCATCCATATATTCCACATGTTGGTAGTTTTTATGTTCCATATTGTGCTCACCGTTATCTCACTTTTTTAGGTAAGAAGCAAGGGAGGAATGAGTTTGTAATACGCTTGCAGCCTTCAGAAGCCATGTACATGAAACTTACGGTAATGTGTTCACTATAAAGTCCAATAATAGTGTGTTTGAGGCTTTGAGCTGATATCTTCAGATTTCATGTGCATATATCATCAGGCAAAGCTTGCATATGATGCTTAGTTTCCTATTAAATTACTAATTCACTTTAGAGAAAGTTTTGGATAATTATCTGAATGCTGCTCAATATTGTTAGAATACTTCGTAAGATCCTCAATCCAATCAATAGGAACCCACGCTTTATGTATCACGTTCATTAAGCAGAGAAACGCTAGGAGAGTCCCGTGTCTCCTTCAGCATGTTCACTTACTAGCTCAGTGTCCTGTTATGCAGGTCAAGCAGCCTGGACTCGAGATGGCAACTGTCCAAAGTGAATTAGACTTGTCATATGGGCAACGTTATCAAGGGGTAACTATCCCGGAGGCTTATGAACGTCTAATTCTTGACACGTAAGGCACCTACCTTTCCATTTTAAAAATCTCTTACATTGCACCCCGTATGCTGCTTTTGTTTCAGCCAATTAACAGATAGTTATTGAAATCCACTCAATTAGGACCACACCATAAGATTAATCAATCATGACAATTGCTATTTGTTTTTTGACAGAATAAGAGGCGATCAACAACATTTTGTGCGTAGAGATGAGTTGAAGGTAATAACATCGTACACTTTCTTTTCCCGTTACAACAACATTGTACGCTTATTTTCTTGGCACGCTGCTATTTTCCCAATCGACTGATATACTGTGTTAATCGATCATCAGGCGGCATGGGAAATCTTCACACCGCTTCTGCACAGAATTGACAACGGTGAGTTAAAACCGCTTCCATACCAACCAGGCAGTCGGGGTCCTGCAGAAGCGGATGCACTGCTAGAAAAAGTTGGATACGTACAAACACATGGCTACATATGGATCCCTCCTACCTTGTAGAATGCTCGCCTTCCTAACTTCCGGCCCGGACTTGCTCTTATGCAGTGTGCCTTAAAAGTGTTGTTTTTACATTGCAAGCTTTTATAAGCTATGCAATCAGAATAAGAGAGTGTATATCAGAATAAGAGGGTGTGTATTCGAAAGACCTAAACGCCATGTTTTTTCGAGGATGTGAAATGTTGAAATTCCATATGTCATGTACATTCGTTCGAGATTTTGAGTGTGACGATCGTACCAAAAATTAGGTAAAGGATGAGTGTGGTGTTGCTGTCGAAATCCATAGGAGATACCTTGGCGGACACTTATGCTAAGTTGGATTGAAGGGAATAGGATTCTCTTTGTAGGATTTGAATGATCAATCAATCGTGTCTGTTTATCGTACATCATTGATGTTAGAAATTATTTTAAAATTTAAATTTGAAATTAAATATAAATAGTACTTAACGAAAACTGATCGTACGATATACGATGAACATATACGATTAATTGATCTTCGAATTTTCACAAAGAAGGTCTGAAGAGGATCATTGTCCGTATTAAAGTGCTTGAAATTAATTGATTTGGAAGTTTCTGGAAGATAATATAATTTAATTAATGCCTATCTTTTAACTTTTTCTAATGGTCAAAGATCAAAGATTGCAGTTTAATGCCAACATCCTCATTAATGATCCAAATTAGAATCGGATTCGGCTACTTGCGGGGTTTTAGGCATGGTAAATCGTGATTGACATAATTTTATGCTTTAATTCCTGACAATAAAATCAATAGAAATAGTATTTGAATTTATTTATTGTAAATTATTTTGGTTATTTTATGAAAAATTTATCAAAACTTTTGTTAAATTGGCACATGAACAATCATGTGACTACCTTTTTAGAGGTATTTTGGTCAAACCAATCCCTTCACTTAACGAAAACGTCAATAATTTTTTTACAAAATGATCAAAATGATTTACAACAAATTTAAGACCACTTCTTTTAATTATGCTAATTTTAAAAATCATTTTGATTAAAAAAATCATTAGATTCCTTTCTTTCAAGTTAGACTTGGTAACTTCCTTGTTTGCTCAGTAAAAAAGTAAAAAGAAAGCTTTGCCGACAAGGGTCGCACGAAAACGACTTGTTGAAGAGCGATTTATTCCTTTTCAAAATAATACAACGAATATCGGGACGGGAGGAACCCTGAACTCTAACTACAGAATCTCGAATGCGTAGATAAATAAAAGAGTTGATTGCTAGCCAATGTATGGAAAATGATCATCGTCGGATCTGTTTTTGCCGATCTTAAGAATTTTGTGATCATGATCGTGATTGTTCATCGTATATATGTAAGTTTTAGATAGGAATTATTTATATTTAATTTTAAATTTTGAAATAATTTCTGATCGCACGATATATGATAAACGGTCATAATTACGAAAAAAAGGATCCGACGAGAATCCTTTTTCCCAATGTATATCTCTTCGTGAATCATTATTGATTTCTTCGTGTGGAAGAGAAGAGAAGAGAAAATTCCTTGTCGTAGTAGTAGTGCCCTAAAGAACACTTTTATTAGAAGTACGTCGTACAACATTTGAGAGTGCTTCTTCAAAAATTACTTTCACTTAAAAAATGCTTTTATTAGAAGCACGTCGTGAAACATTTAAGGGGTTTTTTGAAATGAGTCCAAAGTAACTAAAAATTGGACCTATTTCAAAAGTCAAAGTCACTAAAAATTGAACCTATTTCAAAAGGTAGTCTATAAAATTAGACCTATTTCAAATTTTTCCAACATTTAAAATGCTTTTTAAAAAAAGTCAAACGTCATAAATTATTGACAAAAAACATTATAAATATTTTTTATTTTATTTTATATAAATACAATCATTTTAACTGTTTTAAAAGCACATCTAAACTGTACCGAAAAAAATCTCATGGAATTTAATTAAACCCTTGAAAGGGTAACGAGGAATCTGGAACCTTGTCGACGTAAAAAAGGGTGGCGGGGGAGGGAAGGTCGTTGTTGGCGTTGGTGAAAGTTTAAACGATTCCAGGTGGAAGACTTGTCACCGGCAACTCCTCTCTCTCTCTCCTCTCCCTCTCCCTCTCCTCTCCCTCTATCCACGCGTCTTTTTCCCAACCTTCCCTGCTCTCACACTCTCTGCGCGCCCTAATTTTGGCACGCACGCTCTATTGTTATATCTCCTCTCTCACCTTCCAAATTCTGTTACCTCCCTCCCTCCCTCTCCTTCTCCTCCTCCACTTTGGTTTTCCTCCTTTCTCTCTCTACCTCCTTCTGCATTGCGTTGGTTGATTGGTCGGTCGGTTGCTTGCATCGTTGGGTCAGACTGCTTTTCCTCTTCCGTATCTGATTCGGTAAATTTCAATCTTTCTCCTTTTAATCTCTGTATCCGTTTCAATCTACCCACATTAGGATTTTGTTTCTCTGAACTCCTAACTCCCATTCCCACTAGGGTTTCTCTGAATTCAGCTTGATTGGTACTCGTAAGTCGGATAAAATTTGTGAACTTTTTGCTTTTTCTTCTGGAATCGGCCTGTGAGAAAGTTGGGTTTTTCATATAATTCAGAAATCCAGGTGCTTTTTGTTTCCATTCTAGTTTTTTTTGCCTCTTGGGTATGGAACTTTTGCCTTGTGTTCAAGAAAAACCAGGCTTCTTGGTATAAATTTCTGTTTATCCTTTATATCTTGGCTAAAAGGGATGGCTTTGAATCTCTCTCGTGACTCAATCTTGCCTGCGTATCCGTCCTTGGAGCATAGTTCGTGTTCTTCTGTTAAGTACCCTAATGGGTGTGTGATGGATCAATTCAAGGAAAAGGATTTGGATGGTATTTATGATGAACCGTCAAGTTCTTGGAGTTCCAATTTGGATTTGAAGAATACCCATTGTAAGAGCAAATTGGGTGGTTATTGTGACCGTTCTGCTGATGATATTGTGGATCGATTGCCTGTCGATCCTTTTGGAATGGAGATTAGGTCTACGTTTACGGCGATCACTGGTTGGTTTCAAGGTTTCGAACCAAATTATGAATCTTGTAGCTCTGGGTGGGATGAAGGAAAGACAAAGATGGTTGATGGCGGATTGTTTGCCGGTCTGAATTGGGTTTGGAATAGCGCTGTGTGGTATCAGCCGGAAGTTTGTGACCTGAAATTTGATGGAGTATCCAATCCCATATGACAGCTTTGATGGGTTCGGGATCAATGATGGAGGTTTTGCATTAGATGACAGCGTGGAGGAGTTTCTGAGTTTTAGCTATGTGGGGGACTTAGATGTTTTTGATGGAGCTAAGCAACTGCAGGTTGGAACTAAGGAAATACAAGGTTGTGGCAACATGTGTCCGAGAGTGAGGCGAGTGCTCCGCATGATGCTATGTTTTATGCATTGCGTTTTCTTGGTGTTAAGGACCTTCTATCGGTTGAAAGGGTTTGCAAGTCTTTTCGTAATGCAGTTAGAAGTGACCCTCTTCCATGGAGGAGTATTGTCATTGATTGGCCGTTGAATGAGCGCATCACCGATGATGTTCTTGTAAAGCTAACAACCAGGGCTCAAGGCACACTTCAAACCTTGGGTCTAGTGCATTGTGTAAGGATCACTGATGGTGGGCTGCAGGGTGTGTTTAACAGCAACCCGAGGTTGACAAGGGTGAGTTTTTGAACTTCTGTATTTTCGACATTCCTGCTTGTGTTTCTGATTACGATTTTGTATAACAGGATACCTCTCTATTTTTCAGTGACATTTATAAAAAAATGCTTTTATGTTGCTTTCCCTTGGGATAAAATGTTCCTGAAATTACATATGATCCTTGGGGCTACTTTCTCCTATTTAATTTCTGTGAAAACATTTCTTGCGCATCAAACTTACATATGTACACTTTTTTCACTGTGCAGTTAAGTGTTCCCGGATGTCTTAAAATCAGTGTTGAGTGCATCTTGTTAAACATAAGGACCTTGAAGTCTGCAGGCAACCCCGGAATAAAGCAGTTAAGAATTGGTGGTCTCTCTGGTATAACAGACAAGCAGTTCGAAGAGTTGAAATTCTTGCTTGCCACAGATAACCATGTCCAGCCTAGAGTCCCGAAACCTCGATTTTTTAATGGTGGATTGTCGTATGGCTCTTGTGATGATGATTGTCCCATCGACATCGAAGCATGCCCCAGGTGCCAGAGACTTAGTTTAGTTTATGATTGCCCTGCAAAGAGTTGCCAAGGGAAACAACCTGCTGATCAGAAGTGCAGGGCTTGCACGCTCTGCATAGCTCGCTGTATTAGTTGCGGTTGCTGCCTTAAAGACTGCGATTATGAGGAGACATTTTGTCTAGACTTGCTTTGCATGCATTGTTTGGAGAGCCTACTCAACTGTCAAGAGAAGCATGGAGAAAAGGGCGCTCCCAAGTGCGCCATATTCTGTCAGGAGAACAGGTACCAATTTTGCCTTGTTGGCTAAGAGAAAGACATCAAGTATTCGTTTGCTGTTGGTTGTGGATTCGAATCTACAAGGTTTGGAGTTTCAAAAGTGGGCAGAAGCTGGTTAGTGCATGCTTTGTTTCTGCAGTAAGGATTTGTATTATCATGAGGAGGCTGCAGCTTGTAAAGCTAGAGATAATCTCCCGGGAAACGAAATTGAAAATAAAAAAAATAGAAAAAAGAGTGAAAACTGTGAGGAGGAGAGGGGGCTACACAAGAAAGGTTGATTGGAAAAGAAGAAATAAGAAAAGAAACAAGAAGGAACATATAAGAGATCCAGAAGTTTATTCTGAAGATGTTATAGCTCATTCCGTGTTTGGTTCCATCCCGGAGACTTACCGAAGGGCAATGAAGAAAAGATGTCTGAAAGTTGAAGCAGTGGGTGTTAGTAGCTGTCGATTGTTAGTCGAAGCAGATTTCATCTTCAGAGTTGAGAAATTTTATGGGTGCAGGTGAAGAGCAGCAGCCGTATAGTGACAAGCAGAAAGTCATGGCAGAGATGGACGGAGCTACAAAATACTACCCGTGCCACAACCGCAGCCGGTAGGATGCTCCAGTTGGATGACCGAAGTGTTGAATTTCGAAGGATGTTTGTGTGATGGTGGAATGTGTGGTATTAATTCAGTTGAAAGCCTACATATTTACTGTTTTTCTTTTCCTCTTTGGGAAGATACCACAGATGTAGTGTTTTGTCTTAAAACAATGATCAATAAATAACACTTGTGTCCATAAAAGTTCCATCTTTTTTCGAGGGATCCGGCTTCTCTGCCCTCCAGTTTTCATACATTCCTATTCTTTCTTATTTTGTGCGGTTAAGGATAAACTATGTTAGTATTTTATATTTATTTTTTTATAGAGACTGTAAGACAAAAAGTAATAGTAATATAACATGATGATATAACTTAATCGTAACTGTACAAATAAAAAGAAATAAGAATGCATGGGAACTCGAAGGGCAGATAAGCCAGGTCGTTTTTCTGAGTGCTGCTTTCTGGTAGCCATTTCCTTGGTCATCTTTTGCGACATTTCTTTTTCTGACACGCTAGTGATGAGTTCCGAAAAACGCAGAGAATATTTGTGATAAAATTTGGCTAAGCTTCACAATTTTTTGCAACAATATTATTTATATTAAAGAGGACGGGATGAGCAAAATTTTATAATGAAATCTAGTTCAAATTCGTCTTTAACAAGAATATAACTTAATATTTTTTACTTAAAAATAACATTACAGCAGTACTAAAAAATTGCTTCAACAACTGGGTCGGTAGGGTTGGATTTTCGTAGACCGACTCCGTGTCGAGCAATTCAAATTGATATTTTGTTTGACCTAAACCGGGTTCAAACTCTTTCATATCTCTCCGACTCTCTACACTAGAGTGAAAAAGAAGAAGCCAAGTCGGTCGGAAAATCGTCAGTCATGGAGAACGGTGAAATTCCCGAAGACGCCAACGAACGTAAGCCCTTTCTTCCTAATTCTCTTGAGCTTTTCATTAATTTCGTCTTCATCGGAATTCTTATGGTTTAATTTTTGTGGGATGCTAATACTACCGGTTTTAGATTGCCCGGGTCCGCAATCCGATTCGGCTGGAAAATCCGACGCCTGCGAAGGATGCCCGAACCAGCAGATTTGTGCTACTGCTCCCAAGGGCCCCGACCCAGGTTTCCTTTCTCTCTCTGGCTCCTAAAGCTCTGTGCTTTTTGTTCCTTTATCTGCAGCTTTCAACTGTTATTTTTTAGTTAATTTTAACCTGTGATTACCTGTAAATTATTCCTCCTGTTGCTGTGATTTGTCTAACTGTGATTAAAATTTTGAAGAACAAGCCAAAGTGGATGCTTTTATGTTAATTTCATGAAATTTTTTAATCATGATCATGGTTAATTTCATGAATTTTGAAGAACAGAGACTATAAGTTTTCTTTCGGAACCTTGCTTTCCTTAGGTATTGTGATTTTGTTGCGCAAGTATTCGAGCAATTGGTGTATGTTAACCGAATGTTTGATCAAAGTATGGACCCTTACGATTCATTTGTCTCTAGTTTGGTTTGGTTGCAACCTTTATTTCAGAATTTTATTAGGTAATCGTTGCAAGGCATCCAATTGATGTGAGTGTATACAGTATCACTAACCCGCCTTTGATTTTCATCCTTTGTGTGACTGCGCGAGTTCGTTTTCCTCTTTACAATACTATATCTTATCTATGACTTCAAGAACGATGTGTTTTTGTCTTGATGGTTTGTATATTATTTTGGTACAGACGTCGTTGCAATTGCAGAAAGGATGGCCACTGTAAAGCATAAGATACTGGTTTTATCAGGAAAAGGTGGAGTTGGCAAGAGCACATTCTCTGCCCAACTTGCATTTGCACTAGCAGCTATGGACTTCCAGGTGGGACTTCTTGACATCGATATTTGTGGCCCGAGCATCCCAAAGATGCTTGGCCTAGAGGGCCAAGAAATCCACCAGAGCAACCTTGGCTGGTCTCCTGTCTATGTTGAGCAAAACCTTGGGGTCATGTCAATTGGCTTTATGCTTCCGGATCCTGATGACGCTGTTATATGGAGGGGGCCGCGCAAAAATGCACTCATTAAGCAATTCTTGAAGGATGTTTATTGGGGTGAGCTTGATTTCCTGATAGTGGATGCTCCTCCTGGAACCTCGGATGAACATATTTCAATTGTCCAATACCTTGATGCTGGCTCAATAGATGGTGCAGTCATAGTCACCACTCCACAACAGGTTTCCATGATTGATGTTCGGAAAGAAGTAAGCTTCTGCAAGAAAGTCGGAGTTCAGGTCCTTGGGGTTGTTGAAAACATGAGTGGTTTGTCCCAGCCAGTTATGGATTTCAAATTTTTGAGGATGACAGAGACCGCTGAGCAAATAGATGTCACGGAATGGGCTAGGGAGCAGCTGAAAGAGAGATTGCCTGAATTCTCAAACATTGTAGCTTTCACCGATGTGTTTGATAGTAGTAGCGGTGGAGCTGAAAGAATGTGTGGGGAAATGGGGGTGGCTTTTCTGGGGAAGGTACCGTTGGACCCGCAGCTTTGTAAGGCTGCCGAAGAAGGTAGATCTTGTTTTGTTGATCAGAAATGTGGGGTGAGTGCACCTGCACTGAAGAAAATCATTGATAAAATGATGAAAAATCAGGGAATATCTACAATGTTGGTTGACAACGATGCATAGGTGAATCGGCTACACCAAGTATCTTCATAGATCAAGATTTTGTTCATGTAAACCTCAACATTTGATGATCTTGTAGAGTAATTTTCTTTGGCATGTGAATGTCTTTTAAGTTATATGGATTGTGGAACAATTTCATTTATTTAAATTTGTGGGCAACTCGGTAGGTTGGATGGGTTGGAAGGTCAACGAAACATTTACCTGTTCTTTAGAATTTTGGTTTGGGTTTGGATTTTGTCAGGTTAGAACAATTACAAACTCAACACACCCAAAGTGAATTCAGTCTTTCTACGTAACGATGTTCTTAAGAAAGTTAAAAGACATTCTTCTTAAGTTACATTATAATGTATTTCAACGATTGGAACTGTGCAGAAAAATACGATTACAATTAACTGAGAAATGATCCAATTGAGGTCCAGTTGAATTTGGACGGTCTTTAACCGAATCTTTTAGGCCGCCTTGAGTGAAAGTTGGATAGTGTCCTAACCCATCTCTTACTGTACTTGTACCACCTCTATAATAGATACAGAACACACGTGTTGATGGATTCTATCTATATTAGAGAAGTTTTATAAATATGGTATGAAAAATATGGTAAGTATAGCATCACTCATCTGACTCTAACCCGCTCGGAGATGCGAGTTTCTAATCTGTTTCAGGAAGGGAGAGTGCTTTCTACAGCATCTTTGTAACTGCTTCCCTCGCCAAGTGGTCATTGCAGTCAGTACTCCTGTAACTGAACTGCTTAGGAAAACAAGCCAACATTTACTAGTTCTTTTTTTTTTTTTTTTTTTTTTTACGTTTTTACCAATTCAACTCCGTTCATCTTTCTCGAAAAGAACGGCGACGCCGCCACCTCTGACATCCATGTCAGCACTGGTTTCCGACGTCGACAAATACGAATCAAAATCGGAGAATTCAATCCTATAAATAGCACTCACACTCTCACACTCCCTTGTTCACACTTACGAGTCCTTTCACTCTCATTCTCTTGACGTTTTAACCAAAACAAATTACTCATCATGTCCAAGATCAAGATTGGCATCAATGGTATCTTCTTGTGTTTATTTTTGTATTGCTTGCTATTTAGTTTATGATATGATCACCCTTTAACCATCAACGGTGTTGATTTGATGTCCATCTGGTGAAGGATTCGGAAGGATCGGCCGCTTGGTGGCAAGGGTTGCTCTCCAGAGAGACGACATTGAGCTCGTCGCTGTCAACGATCCTTTCATCAACGTCGAATACATGGTAAGTATAATGTAACCAAATTAATATATGTTTGTACATTATTTGGTGATCATTTTATAGTTACGGGATGTGTTTTGCTTGTAACGTAAAATTGGAGCGAAACATGAACGAAATGATTCTGGATAAAGCCCGAAAATCGCAATACTCGTACGTAACAGTTTAAATGTTGCATGCATGCAGAGCTACATGTTTAAGTACGACACTGTTCACGGGCAATGGAAGCACCACGAGCTTAAGGTTAAGGATGATAAGACCCTTCTCTTTGGTGACAAGCCCGTCAAAGTTTTCGCTTCTAGGGATCCCGAACAGATCCCGTGGGGGGAAGCAGGTGCGGAATTTGTGGTCGAGTCCACTGGAGTTTTCACCGATAAGGAAAAAGCCTCTCTGCACTTAAAGGGTGGTGCAAAGAAGGTTATCATTTCTGCCCCAAGTAAGGATGCCCCAATGTTTGTTGTGGGTGTCAATGAGAAGGAGTACAAGCCAGATCTTGACATTGTCTCCAACGCCAGCTGCACTACCAACTGTCTTGCCCCATTGGCAAAGGTATCTAGTCCTCAATTTCTTAGGGATACTTTTGGGAATGATTTTGAAATAAAGGCATTCTATGACAACCAAAAATGCTTTTGATTACGTAATGTAGAAAAAGTTAGAAGTATATTTGGATCATACGAGGGTGGCTTTGTTTGAGAAGTGTCTGCCAAAGCACTTTAGATTTTTAATAAGATTTTCAATGTGTTTCTAATGAAAGCACTTCTAGCACAAGCGATTATGAGCAAAAGCAATTCGGCCCTAAGTCTATGTTGCTTCAGTCAAACCATTATGAAAAACTAATTAATTTGGTGATGAACTGCTAAGCTTCTCATCTTGACAGGTTATCCATGACAAGTTTGGTATTGTGGAGGGTCTTATGACTACCGTCCATTCTATTACTGGTGAGTGTGTGTGTGTGTGCGCGTGTGTGTATGCGTGTATACGTATATGTAATCGATCGTTCAATGCTCACCGGTTTTTCTCAACGTTGTGCAGCCACCCAAAAGACTGTTGATGGACCGTCAATGAAAGACTGGAGAGGCGGCAGAGCTGCTGCTACCAACATCATTCCCAGCAGTACTGGAGCTGCCAAGGTATTGATTCGACGATGATACATTGTTTGATACTTGACAGATTTTTCTGCTTAAAGCATGCTTTGCATTCGCCGCGGTGTTTGATTTTGTAGGCCGTGGGGAAAGTGCTGCCTGCATTGAACGGGAAGTTGACGGGAATGGCGTTCCGCGTTCCCACGGTGGATGTTTCGGTGGTTGATCTCACAGTGAGACTTGAGAAGAAGGCCACTTACGATGAGATCAAAAATGCCATCAAGTAAACATCGTTGACATTCTTCTACTTCGCTACGGGACTTTGAATTGATTGTATAACTGGCATGGTCCTATATTTCTTGACTCCGTTGTGTTTTGTAGGAAAGAATCAGAGGGAAGCCTGAAGGGAATCCTTGGATACACGGACGAAGATGTGGTGTCGACGGACTTTGTGGGTGACAACCGGTGAGAATTTTCGACAATTTATTCGCAGTTGTTGCTCTGTGTTTTATTAGTTGATCATATGTATTTGGAAATTATGCAACAGGTCGAGCATTTTCGATGCCAAGGCTGGTATTGCTTTGAACGACAACTTTGTGAAGCTTGTGTCTTGGTATGACAACGAGTGGGGCTACAGGTAATTTCCGTACAGTTTCTTTACTTCATTATAAATTCCAAACGAAATCTGTTATTTGCGCTCCAAAAAGTCAATCTAAACATGGTCTGGTTTGTTGCAGCTCACGAGTTATTGACTTGATCCGTCACATTGCCTCGGTTAAATAGACGACTCGACCATTTCTCGGGATTAATTAGGAGGCAGGGCAGCTTAAGCTTGTTTTCGGAATAATCGATCATCTCTGCTGGTGATAAGTTTTGTAGGGGACTGGTTCCAAGAGTGTTAGAAGCTTTAGTTTTAGTTTTGGGGATGGTCATTGTACGGGGTTTAGACATCCCGACTACTCAAAATTGGCACGACATTTTAACTTGAGATGCAGTTTAGAGACATGCAATCGAGACAACCAATACTGCAAAGTTATAGTTGTTAAAATGTGATCAACGTATTGTCGCAAAAATGCAAACATGCAATGCAATCGAGACGATCAATATTGCAAAGTTGTAGTTGTCAAAATGCGATCACATATTGTCGCAAAAATGCAGTCATGCTGACGAGACAATCAATATTGGAAAGTCATAGTTTTCGAGTGAGGATTCTCGCCGGATTCTCTTTGTGAGGATTCTGGGAATCCTCCAATCACATCCGTTCATCATACATCGATGCGGTTAGTTTTTGTCAAGTACTGTTTATTTTCAATTTTAAATATAAAAATTTACAATGACTTTTGACTGCACGATATACGATGAACGGATGTGATTGGAGGATCCCTAGGATCCTCACAAAGAGGATCCGGCGAGGATCCCCACAAAGAGGATCCGGCGAGGATCCTCTGGATAGTTTTCAAAAATGGGATCAACATATTGTCGCGAAAGTGCAGACATGCAATCGAGACAATCAATCTTGCAAAGTTATAGGTGTCAAAATGCAATCAACATGTTAAGAAAATGCAGACATGCAATCGAGATTGTCGATATTGTGCCTGCGCCGTGCAATTAACTGCATCTTTACTTCCAATCTAAACAGTATTTTCCAAACCAAAAGAAGAAGAAAATGAAAGATGCAGAAACATCAAAACAAGAGGAGGAACAACGCACCTCGACTGGCCTTCATCTCGCTTTCTATGCGTCATGTACTAATGTCAAGCCCAAGCGTTACCAAGCCGAGGCGCAAGAATATGTAAATGACACGCCCAGCCATATCGATATGAAAGCAAAATAAAGAAACAGATGGCGAGAAAAAGCAATTGAAATAGGTGCAAAATTTTGGATGACACATCCTCCTGCACAGCAACATATGAACAAAAGTGCACCAAATTATATTCAAGTACTAACCATCCAGGTGAACTTAGTCAGAAATGCATTATCAACGCAACGTCCATGGCAGTTTCCTAGACCTTATCTCTCATTCTAAATAAGTTCAAGACACCCGCCTTCCCCGTAAAAACAAAAAATTACTCTAGAAATAAACCACTCAAGACTTCGGTGTATTCGCGGACTGGTCTTCTTGTTATGCCATGTCCTGGAACCCTGCAAAGAAAACCGATACAATTGCTAATCAAATAGGAAAGCTTAACGCCATTATTTCATATTGTGAAAACGATAGGACCAAATTGACGGAACGAGAAGGTCTTTTGATATTAAATGGTGTAAAGGCATAAAAACAATCCCATATGGATTCAATTATTCCATCATGAATCACATTACATAAGAGGCGGAACAAAAACATAAAAGAAACTCATTCATATTTCTCATGCACGTAGGCAACAACCACAGAAATCAAATTTAGGCCTTTCATTCATAAGATCAAGCACACGTTACTTGCACTATACATTGAAATTACCTTCACTTTCCAATTTCCTCAATTGTCATCATAGAGATCTGTAGCTTAAAATAATCAATAATTGCCACTTCATTCCATCTCAAAATCAGGTTAACTAGACATTATATGCACGATAAGTATACCTAAACGTTAAAAACTACAAAACACAAAGGAATCAACTATTGTAAAACCAAAAATTTTCATTAGAACTATCTGAATTCCTAGTATGTATCTTGTGTATATAATGGTACGAAGCGTACAACGTGCAGCCTCGCCCAATGTGGGTATCATGCTATCATTCAAGCAGCACCATAACTCAATCCTTCAAAGTTCAAACTCCCTTGAAATTCAGAACAAAAGGGAACCAAAAGCATTCCGCCAAAACTTAGCAAAATGATATAGCTGAGCCTAGCAAACTTGATGAATTAGCTCTCTTAGTGCCGAAAACCTAAACTCTTACGATGCTAATGTGCACAACTCTTTCCAATTGTCTTCGGTTTCAACGAGGGATTGTCTGTACTCTAAAATGGTTTAATCGTACTTCCGAATATATACATAGATTACAGATATGATCCCATACCGATGCAGAATAAGAATTGAACAACACCAATGAATTACCAAATCAATGTAACAGTAAAATAGGAAGCAAATCAAACACAAAAGAAGCAGTGAAATGAGAAATTACCATCAGCGAGGGTTAAGTCCAAAGAGCATGTTCTTCCCACCAGGCAGGTAAGACACATTGGCGACCTGGCAAGCGTGTTAGCAACCTCCCTGGAAGCCTCAATCCTCCTGAGCTCGATCAGTCCCATACCCGCCGAAGCAGTCGCATCAGAGATGAGCTTCGCAGCCTCGCTCTCACCCTGTGCCCGGATAATCGCAGCACGCCTCTCCTGCTCAGTCTTGGCCACCACAAACTTGGACCGCTCCGCCTCCTGCTGAGCCACCTGCTTCGCCTCCACGGCGCGCGAGAACTCCAGCCCGTACGACAAGTGCGTGATCGCCACGTCATCCAGAACGATGTTGAAATCCTTGGCGCGGCGAATCAGGCTCTCGCGCACCAGCGCCGACACGTGGGGACGCTCGGTGAGGAGCTGATCGGCGTTGAATTGCGCCACCACGGCCTTGAGGACCTCATTGCCGATGGAGGGGAGGACCTTCTCGTCGTACTCGAGCCCTAGGGTTTTGAAGATCTGAGGGAGGCGAGCGACCTCGGGGCGCGAGAGGACCCGGAGGGTGAGATTCACCATCTGGAGATCCTTGGTGCCGGAGATGGAGGAGAAGGTGTGGGGCCGGGTGCGGATATCGAAGATGTAGGGCTTCTGGAGCCATGGGACCAGGAAGTGGGTCCCCTCGCCGACAGTGTCGTCGATGACTCCGCGGAAACGGTCGAAGAGGACGGCGCGCTGGCCTCCGTCGACGGTGTAGAGCGCGGAGTTGACGACGGTGGCGCCAACGCCGAGGCCGAAGGCGGCGCGCGCGACGTTGGTGAGGAAGGACACGGCAGCTTGGTTGCTTCCCATCTTGGTGACGACGAAGATTCGAGGGAAGGGATATGGGTTTTTGCAGAGTGGGAAAGTAGGGTTTATGTGATTTTTGTTATAAACCCCTAACTACTTGGGCAGGAGGAAAACTACGAAATGGGCCTACGCTTTTATTTTTGTTTGGACAACGGGCCTAAACCCATCAGCCCATCAATAAATTTATTTTGGGCTGAACATTCTTAATAGTATTGGGCCTCATTAAGGAGATTGTCTTTTATCTGTTTAGAGCTTCAAAATCATTGTCACTTTTTTTCTTTTTTTAATCTTTGAGTGCCGATAATAGCTCCTTCCCTTTGCATGGAGAAAAAAAAAAAAACCTAATTTAACTGACTTCAATCAAGAATATTGGATGTATGCAAAGTGAAAGGGGCTTCAAACTTTGTATGTGGTTAATCCAACATCTAATTAAACAAAATCTATGGTTTGACTGAAAAAAAAAAGGGGGATCTATTGTAGGTTTACAAAGACAAGAAGTGATTTTTACACGTCTTTTTTTTGCATTTTTTTTTTAGCTTTCAAATTGAATAAATCAAAAGGAAATCGAGGAATAGAAATAAAGAGACGACTCATTTGGTTTTGTTAAATATTCTTTCACCCTCGTTTGGTTGACAAAGAGGATTATATTAATATGTAGTTTAGATTTAGATAAAAGAAAAATTAACAAAAAAGATTTTGCACGGATTATAAAAGATTTTGCACAGAAAAATATACTTTGAAGAATATGAATATCATAGTTTGTTGTAGTGGTAAGAGAAATAAAAGAAAAATTAACAAAAATGTGCTAAAAGTTTCAAATTCTTGAGGGTGCCATAAAGCCATGTTTTCGGAGTACCTAGGAGTTTGCTTTGTCCTGCATGCGTGGAGTCTACCTCATCTTGTGTGCCTGGGTTCCCTTGTTCTGCATGTGAGGTGTCCGCATCCTTTTGCGTGCTAGAAGCCCACCCATTTTTGCATCCACAGAGCCTGCGTCGTTTTGGCGTGCACAAAAATGAAAATTTTTTATTTTCGTAAAATATTTTCCCTGAGCATTAAGTTAAACTATTAAGGAATTCAGACACCGTTTTATGTTTTATTGAGCAACAAATGTATATTTAGTAGAATATTAAGCCAAAAACTAAAAAAATAAGTGAAAATCATAGTAATGAGGCCCAAAACATTGTCAAATGGAGTTCTACACTCAAGAATCTCAACGGAAACTCTCAGCTCAATTTTCAAAACTTCACAGTGAGACAAAGGTGAAAATAAAAAGATTGAATGGTGATTTATGTGCAAATTTCCAAAATCGGCCAAAAACCGTGAATGTTAAGTCCACCTTTTTTTTGTAAAAAAAATGATTTTTTTTTATTTTCTTGAAATATTTTCCGTGAGCATTATGGATACCTTATAATGCATTTGGAAGTGGATTTACGATTTATTGAGCAATAAATGCATATTTAATAGAATATTTAAGCCCAAAAGTAAAAAAATATAGAGATGTTAAAATGTATATTTAGTGTATATTTTTTATTTTTTATTTTTTTAAATTAGAGATGTTAAAATCACATGTAGGTGGAGCTTAAACAAAAAATAACAAAATTTTGTTTTGTTAAATATTCTTTCACCCTTGTTTGGTTGGCAAAGATGATTGTATTAATATGTAGTTTAGATTTAGATAAAAGAAAAATTAACAAAAAAAAAGGTTCAAATATCTTTAAATTTAGGTTTTAAATCGTGATTACAATGATTCAACGGTGAGAGAATCTCAGCATTCTATGTAGTTTGTTTGTCATCAATTAAAATCCTAATTAACTAAGTGGAATTATGGCATTTGTCTTGTTTGTGTAGACGCATCACCATGGCTTTTCTTAAGAAGAAAAAAGATTAAGATGTTGTAAATCGTAAAGAAAAAAGATTAAGATGTTGTAAATCGTAATTTGGTTACTATTTGAAGAAAAACTATGGAGATGAGATGAGAGAAAATCGGTTAAGGTGGTTTGGACATGTGAAACAAAGATTTTCAGATGCTCGGGTTAGAAAATACAACTATGAGACAAATCGCTCAGAGCAAAACAATTAAAGGAAGACATAGGAAGACTTGGAAATAGGCTTTAAGAGAATACATGAAGTACTTGGAGCTAATGGAAAACGTGATACAAAACTGAACACTATGACGTTCTAGAACTCATGTAGTCGATCCCACTTAGTGAGATAAAACTTTGTTAATAGTGTTGGTTCCTATTTGAATTCAAGTGATGACATATGAAGGTAGAATGAAATGGTTATATTATCCCTGAGTTAATTACATGTTAATATGCAGATTCGCAGGACATATACGCTTTAATATAATTTGATTGAATCATTGCAGGGTCCATATACTTTTGAGAAGATTGTTAATATAATAATTTATCGATCATAATTGTTGGTGGTGGATTTACTGGTGGTGGTGGTGGTGGGAGGCAAAGCACCATCTCCTGTCCTACTACTGTCGTCCTTAATTCGGCCTTACCACCCAACTTAACAATGGTTGGGTGGCTGACATTCGATCTTCCAATCGATTCACGTTGCCGCACACTTTTTCTTCATTCCACACTTTCCTTCGCAAAAGTGCTCATGCTTTCATTTTTTTCTCTGTTCTTAGGTCAACTTGGAGGGGCATTTATTGTCATGAAGGTATGTAAAGAGATGTCACACATTGGAAGTTCACTTGATCTTGTAACCATAATCGTAGATTTCATTTGTCAAAATAGTGGGATCGATCATAAGTAGAACTTGAATATATATCACTTGTATGAAACAGGAACTTTATTTATGATCGCACCTATTGTCACTTATATATGCTTATCTTTGTGTATTCATGGTGATGGTGGTCCATCTAGATCTGTAAGTTTGTATATTTTCTAGATCATGCATGGATCTACGATACTGATAGTGCTACTGATAACGGTATATAAAGCGGTAGTGCCATAGGGTTAGAGTCCACTACCCCAATATTATTGGGGATATAAGCTGCATGCAGCTGAGCATTAATAGAGACCATCGAATTATCATATGCTTTTCTTTATGCAGTATATCCCATGTGAAGATTTAGGGTTTCACCAATCTATTTTAAAGCAAAGAAAGAGACTACTGGTGGATTGGACTGCATGCAGAACGAAGCACAGTAAAAATCAAAGCTACGAAGGAATCCTGGAGGTGATGGAAAAGTTGAAAGGGGACTGATATATGACATGTCACATGCAAGCATGCATTATTGTTGTTAAAAAGTGAGTAACCCCTTACCTTTACCCACCCCCTCTCTATAATATATAGCTTTTGAATGTTGATCTACTCCAAAAGTTAAAAAGTTGCCTCCCTCTCACATGGACACCCCATTTTGATTCTACTTTTGTTTTAGCTACAGTTATCAGTTATGTGTGTTCCAGTCAGACTGAGTGCGGAGTTGCATATGAAGTTTCTGTAGTGTCAACCTGATGAGAAGAAATTTCATGTAATATGAAGAAATGTGATGGTATCTCAAGTCAATGATATATTATTTTACAAGACAGTTAAAGTGCATGATAATGTCTAATTAGTAATTGGTTTGAAATATCGTCGTCAATGAGCAAACTAACACGTCCCAACCCTGATAGACACGTGCTGACCGATACTCGAGGGTGACGAAGCCATTTTAAACATGCATACAAGTAAAAATATGTTATTAGAAAGAAAAACACCAATGCCGAATCGTGTTCAAAACATACAACTAACCAAAAGAATACCAAAGATTCAAGGATACCTATGCAGAAATGCCCTTATGTTGGGATCGTGTCAAATGCCTCGCTTCTAACTCCTGAGGGGGCGCAAAAACGAAAGGTGAGTGGACCATAATTTATACTAATACTAATAATACGAAAATACATTTTCTTTCTGAACATAATAACCTCTTATTTTGAAACTCATATATATACTACGTATAGGCTTTTTTGAAACTCTAAAAATGTCTGTAGCAATAAAATTATCTCTGAATGTGGTATCGATACGCCTAAAGGCAAAACCCATAAATCTCATATCTCAATCAAGTGTATACTCAACTAGGGGTATCATAGTCGCCCGAAGGCAATACTTGTCCATCACCCAAAGATGAAGTTGTACGACACTGGGTTATGCTAGTGAAGAAACATGGTAGGCCCCATCACCCGAGGGTGAAGTTATACGACTCTGGGTTACGCCAGAGAAGAATTATATAACATCACACAAAACACTAGTCTTTACTGGCATAACCCAGTATCGTACAATTTCACCTTCGAATGATGAACAGGTACTGCATTCAGACGAATGAGGAATGAGATATTATGTTATACCCCCAGCTTCACATTCGTGTTGTGGGTTAGTTTCTCTCCAAGTAAACAGGCAACATAGTTCACCTTACATGTATTCTTTGCTTAGTTGCTAGTATATACTTTTAGCATCTCTGGGAATGATTAACAATCACAACTACGATCTTCGACTCCTTTTAGGTATTGTTATTTAGCATTCCGCGTGCTTTGGTATTGATTTGGATGATATTTGAGTAAACTTCAAGAAACTCACGTGGTAGTTAAGCATGTAAGCATGCTTATAAACTACATAAAAACGGACACTTTTTGTTCTACAGGAAATAAAAGAAAAATAGGACAAAGAAATCAAACTCTCTTTTCTTAATATAAACGATGATCTACTTTAATTTAATCCAAAATATTAAGAGAATGATTCGAATATGAGTTCACAATTGAAGAGTACATCTATACCACTAAGAAGCGTATCTACTCTAACCGGTATGACTTTCTTCTTACGCCTGCAAAATTATCAAGAATTAGTCGGTTGGTTAAGGGCTTAATATTGCAAGTAATAACTTTATTAACGTCAAAAGTTGTGGGTGACATGGAATTGCACCGCCGGAACTTTAGACGTTGGATTGTGGATTGAGCAGCCAGCCACACCGTCCATCCCAAGTATTAAACTACTGGAAAATTCAACTTCTTTTCAAGTTGATCAAATGCCTAAAACTATTCTGATATTTTCTTTCCCTAGTTAATTA